AAAAAAAACAACAACAACAACAACAACAACAAAAAAAAAAAACACCTTTGCATCAGAATATATAAAATAAGTATCTAGAGCTGCAGCCAAAGGAAAGTGTCTAATCCAAATGAGATGGGTTTTGGGTGTATTTTAACGTTGTGTGTTAAACCGTCCTTCCCTGGTTTTTATCGAAAGAAAAAAATGGATTTTACTGATGTTAGGTGCAACTTTCTGAATGTTACAAAATTACATTACGTCTTTTCAAAATCCTAAAATGGTAGTCGAGTCTGAAAGAATCTTTTGTAGTGCCTTTGATGTTTTGGGAATGGGGTAGCAGTTTTAGGATAGTTGGTCTTCACACAATAAATAAATAAATAAATAAATAAATAAATAAATAAATAAATAAATAAATAAGAATAGTGAAGGTCTGTTACAAAATGTTAAATGGCACACAGAGTAATTTTGTAAAGACCTACTGTTTTAGGGGGTCTTGATATCAGAGTGTACGTAGATTTAATTTATGGTCGTTTTTTTTAACAACAAGTGCATATTCAGTTGACCATCGCATCTTATTGAATGCGGGCGCCTAAACACTGTTTAAGAGAAAAAAATGTTTTCTCCTTTTTAACCAGGGGTTGGTATAGCTGATTTAACATAGGATGAAAATATATATATATTCATCTAAACGGTAGCCATATGTTTGATTTACGCTTCCTATTTTTGTGGATTTAAACGTCTTTTGGACCCCCCTTTTTTTTTGACGTCATACACGTAAGGCATGAATAGACCCGAACAATTAAGCAGGCCTATTTGTAGGCCCCTGTCACTTGCCTATTCTGCCAAAGTTTGAGTGGGGAAGGGAGCGAGGTATGGAATTTTTAAAAAATGCCGAGCGTGGCATAGGGGCCTGTTCATGCAGTCGCACGAAATTATTCCGCTCATAAACATCGATTCGCAGTTTGTCTTATTTGATAAGATACATGTACTTGATTTTTTTTTCTCTTACATTGTCTTGTAGGCCCCTACACTGTATCAACTCCTAATAAGCTCTAGGATCAAACTAAGATCCCATATAAAAACCTAGGAACAAACATACACGTAAATAGAGAAACGTTATTTGTCTGTCATGACCGTGGCGATACACGCTTTATGCGGTTTCGTGTGTGTGTGTGTGTGTGTGTGTGTGTGTGAAATGCGAGTGCTTTCTCTCAGTGTGTACGACTCAAGGTATTCTAGCATATATCTCTCAGGTGACAGTGCATTATCTCACATTTAAAACATGGAATTTGTTGAATCCTAGTAATTTGCTGTGCTCTGCTTGGGAACACAACACTGTTGCATCGATGTTGATGTATTGCTTTTTTTAAACACACCTTGTCATGGTTTTGTTGTAGATAATTTGTTAGTTTTGTGATCAAGCTTGATATTTCTAATTTTCTGAATTCTAAACGTGCCAGAAATTAAGCACTCAAAGGGCATGAGTTATTATACAAAAGTTCTACGATAATAATGCAAACATGGTATTGCCCATAAGGATGTATTGTAAGCTCGTTTCTAGCTGTACTGGCAAGATTGGAGTGAGCTGGACCAAACCTGAAGTTATTTTGTCACAATGTAATAAGCGGACATATACGACAGATACCGTGTAAGTATCAGCTATAGCAATGATAGTATAAATTTACAATTTGGTTTAATATTTTCACCTAGTTGATGGCGGGTGTTTGAGCAGTGTTAGGTAAATTTTGCCGTGACGGAGATAATTAAGTAGGTATATCAGAAAAATTTTTAAACTGATCAGAAAATTATTATACTTATATCTTCTGAAAGGTAATACAAAAAACAGATTAATTCTTTTGGAATTTTTAAAATATTCCTACAAGCAACAAAGATATTGAAGTTTTTTAACTGCAAAAATTCACCAAAAGTGTCCACACTTTTCAGCAGTGATCACTCAGCTGTAGCTGCAGCTCAAATTGCTTGTGACCAATTAGGGCAATTAAGGGTCTATGTTAATCTAATGACCCGGAAAAAAACCCAAATTGGCGACCGCACAAGCACATGGCTTCCATGCAGATCATGTACTATAAATATTGCGCATCAAATAAACTATACTTTGCATGGTTCAATTTTCATGATTTTTTGCCATAATATTGCAAATTTCATGAACTTTACATGGCATAAATTACAAAAACTTCCATGCAGTACTTATATGAAATTTTAAACATTTTGTCAAGGCAAAACTTCAAAACGTCCTCAAATCAAAGTTCTCTAAGACTGCAACACGGAAAAATCACGTGACCGTTATTTACTCTTTGACTTACAGCTTATTTAGTAAATGGCTTGTATTAGTTTATTTACAAGGTGTTAAAAGAGGGATTTAAAAAAGGAATGTCATAGGCGAGCTGTTAGCAGGCCGGTCTCGGTTTTGCACTTCACTGCCCCTGGATAGTTACTACTGTGGCACCTCTAGCGGATTGTGATATACCTAAATTAAGTCATTTGTATCTTCTCATTCAGTTGGGAGGAAATGGGCGTTGCTGAAACTCCTAAGCTGCAAGGGAACTACAGAAAAGGACAGGTAAACTTATAATCTGATGTTATTATTTGTCCGTTTTATTTGATTTTCTGGTACTTCGTACATGACAATCTAGCTGAATTGCTTTAATTTAGTTAAAAAAAGATTAACCAACACTTATGTAACAGAAAAGAATAATACATGTGAGTAGTGCTTCATACATTTTTTTGTATATGTAAAAGTGGTTTCTTAGTCACAGTAAGCATTACCTGAAGAGCCTTTAAAATGGAAAATTAAATTGTATTAAACAAAGGAAGAATGTTATGTTTTGTCGTTATCAATATATAAATACATACATTTTTTTGTCTTAGCATTTTATTCACAAAGTGCTTGGATACAGAGGAGTAGTGATACGTTCCTTTACACCTGAAGTCTTTGAGAGCAGCGTATTAAACAGCACCCTGGACAGGTTGATATTGTTCATATCAATAGGCAATAGTTTGCATTTATTTTTGCTCATTTGCAATACTGTTCAATTTAGTAAACAGATTTTTTTTGATGAAAAAACAGCATTTTCTTTTTTCTCTCTGTGTGTTTTTTATGTGCTTGTGTAAATACCCTTCAGCCTTAAACCATAACATCTGTATCTTTTTAACAAACTAAATATACAGCAAAAGTAATACTGAGTCATGCAGTTTTATTGTTTATTATTGCAATTTATGTATCATTATCATATATGGGAAGTTCCAATAAGTTAATTTTAAAATGTCATGTATTTATTTTTAGTAGTTCATATAAATTATTTGGCAAGTATCAATATTCATCATCAATGTTGAGAAAATGGCTACAAATCTGGAATATTTTTTTCCACTAATTTTTTTAGCTGCAGAGAAACTATCCATGCAGGCTCAACAGTGACTGGAAAACCACATAAATATTACCTTGCCTTAGTGGACAGATGTGACCTGGATGTGAGTACTCCACAGGATGTGCGTATAACTAACTCATCCCAAAGTTCTTCATGGTCTTACTTATAATCTTGCACATAGTGACAAAATGATGATTTGATGGTATTGATGGTGATTTAGTATGGTCTAAACGGGAGCTGCCCTAATCTAGCTCTGGCTTTGTTAGTGTATGAAAAGACAATCATTAAAGGTGGGTGGGGAAAAATCTTGGCTTTTCAGGAAGCCTTTGTTTTCAGTGGCCCTTTACTCTCCCACCCCTCCATTTGTGTTTATGTCACGTGACATACGCGTGATTATAAAATAATTGTATCACCAGCATTGGTGCTGGCGGCATGGTGGTAGTTTTACAACCAATACAAAATGTCAAATGTTCATTAAGGGAACAGGAGACATTCAGGAGACCTAAAATTAAAACCAAACGATCTATGAGTGACTTTTNAAAAAAAAAAAAAAAAAAAAAAAAAAAAAAAAAAAAAACCTTTGCATCAGAATATATAAAATAAGTATCTAGAGCTGCAGCCAAAGGAAAGTGTCTAATCCAAATGAGATGGGTTTTGGGTGTATTTTAATGTTGTGTGTTAAACCGTCCTTCCCTGGTTTTTATCGAAAGAAAAAAAAATGGATTTTACTGATGTTAGGTGCAACTTTCTGAATGTTACAAAATCACATTACGTCTTTTCAAAATCCTAAAATGGTAGTCGAGTCTGAAAGAATCTTTTGTAGTGCCTTTGATGTTTTGGGAATGGGGTAGCAGTTTTAGGATAGTTGGTCTTCACACAATAAATAAATAAATAAATAAATAAATAAATAAATAAATAAGAATAGTGAAGGTCTGTTACAAAATGTTAAATGGCACACAGAGTAATTTTGTAAAGACCTACTGTTTTAGGGGGTCTTGATATCAGAGTGTAGATTTAATTTATGGTCGTTTTTTTAACAACAAGTGCATATTCAGTTGACCATCGCATCTTATTGAATGCGGGCGCCTAAACACTGTTTAAGAGAAAAAAAATGTTTTCTCCTTTTTAACTAGGGGTTGGTATAGCTGATTTAACATAGGGTGAAAATATATATATTCATCTAAACGGTAGCCATATGTTTGATTTACGCTTCCTATTTTTGTGGATTTAAACGTCTTTTGGACCCCCTTTTTTTGACGTCATACACGTAAGGCATGAATAGAGCCGAACAATTAAGCAGGCCTATTTGTAGGCCCCTGTCACTTGCCTATTCTGCCAAAGTTTGTGTGGGGAAGGGAGCGAGGTATGGAATTTTTAAAAAATGCCGAGCGTGGCATAGGGGCCTGTTCATGCAGTCGCACGAAATTATTCCGCTCATAAACATCGATTCGCAGTTTGTCTTATTTGATAAGATACATGTACTTGATTTTTTTTCTCTTACATTGTCTTGTAGGCCCCTACACTGTATCAACTCCTAATAAGCTCTAGGATCAAACTAAGATCCCATATAAAAACCTAGGAACAAACATACACGTAAATAGAGAAACGTTATTTGTCTGTCATGACCGTGGCGATACACGCTTTATGCGGTTTCGTGTGTGTGTGTGTGTGTGTGTGTGTGTGTGTGTGAAATGCGAGTGCTTTCTCTCAGTGTGTACGACTCAAGGTATTCTAGCATATATCGCTCAGGTGACAGTGCATTATCTCACATTTAAAACATGGAATTTGTTGAATCCTAGTAATTTGCTGTGCTCTGCTTGGGAACACAACACTGTTGCATCGATGTTGATGTATTGCTTTTTTTAAACATACCTTGTCATGGTTTTGTTGTAGATAATTTGTTAGTTTTGTGATCAAGCTTGATATTTCTAATTTTCTGAATTCTAACCGTGCCAGAAATTAAGCACTCAAAGGGCATGAGCTATTATACAAAAGTTCTACGATAATAATGCAAACATGGTATTGCCCATAAGGATGTATTGTAAGCTCGTTTCTAGCTGTACTGGCAAGATTCTTAGGAATGGTGTGAGCTGGACCAAACCTGAAGTTATTTTGTCACAATGTAATAAGCGGACATATACGACAGATACCATGTAAGTATCAGCTATAGCAATGATAGTATAAATTTACAATTTGGTTTAATATTTTCACCTAGGTGATGGCGGGTGTTTGAGCAGTGTTAGGTAAATTTTGCCGTGACGGAGATAATTAAGTAGGTATATCAGAAAATTTTTCAAACTGATCAGAAAATTATTATACTTATATCTTCTGAAAGGTAATACAAAAAACAGATTAATTCTTTTGGAATTTTTAAAATATTCCTACAAGCAACAAAGATATTGAAGTTTTTTAACTGCAAAAATTCACCAAAAGTGTCCACACTTTTCAGTAGTGATCACTCAGCGATATCTGCAGCTCAAATTGCTTGTGACCAATTAGGGCAATTAGGGGTCTATGTTAATCTAATGACCCGGAAAAAAACCAAATTGGCGACCGCACAAGCACATGGCTTCCATGCAGATCATGTACTATAAATATTGCGCATCAAATAAACTATACTTTGCATGGTTCAATTTTCATGATTTTTTGCCATAATATTGCAAATTTCATGAACTTTACATGGCATAAATTACAAAAACTTCCATGCAGTACTTATATGAAATTTTAAACATTTTGTCAAGGCAAAACTTCAAAACGTCCTCAAATCAAAGTTCTCTAAGACTGCAACACAGAAAAATCACGTGACCGTTATTTACTCTTTGACTTACAGCTTATTTAGTAAATGGCTTGTATTAGTTTATTTACAAGGTGCTAAAAGAGGGATTTAAAGGTACATACGAACCGAGCATCGGTGGAGAGTGGATTCCCAGTAACACATGTAAACCACTTCTACTAGATTCTTATATGACTCAAATAAATTCGACATGCCAAGGGATAAACTGAATAGATCACTCGATCAGCCATAAAAGACCTTCAGACTGCTCCTTTCTTTAAATTTATGGTTGTAAATTTAACCTACATTCATGACCTACTTTCCTGCCCCATTGACATACAGCTTAGAATGCCAGCAGAAAAATCTGTTCAAACATCATTTTCGGGTAAAATTAAACAATGCCTTTTGGTAATTCTCTTAGTTATACTACTTGAATCTATATGATGGCATTTGGTGGGTTTTTGTGACAAAAAATTGACTTTGTATGCATCTTTAAAAAAGGAATGTCATAGGCGAGCTGTTAGCAGGCCGGTCTCGGTTTTGCACTCTACTGCCCCTGGATAGTTACTACTGTGGCACCCCTAGCGGATTGTGATATACCTAAATTAAGTCATTTGTATCTTCTCATTCAGTTGGGAGGAAATGGGCGTTGCTGAAACTCCTAAGCTGCAAGGGAACTACAGAAAAGGACAGGTAAACTTATAAACTGATGTTATTATTTGTCTGTTTTATTTGATTTTCTGGTACTTCGTACATGACAATCTAGCTGAATTGCTTTAGTTTAGTTAAAAAAAGTTTAACCAACACTTATGTAACAGAAAAGAATAATACATGTAAGTGGTGCTTTGTACATTTTTTTTTGTATATGTAAAAGTGGTTTCTTAGTCACAGTAAGCATTACCTGAAGAGCCTTTAAAATGGAAAATTAAATTGTATTAAACAAAGGAAGAATGTTATGTTTTGTCGTTATCAATATATAAATACATACATTTTTTTGTCTTAGCATTTTATTCACAAAGTGCTTGGATACAGAGGAGTAGTGATACGTTCCTTTACACCTGAAGTCTTTGAGAGCAGCGTATTAAACAGCACCCTGGACAGGTTGATATTGTTCATATCAATAGGCAATAGTTTGCATTTATTTTTGCTCATTTGCAATACTGTTCAATTTAGTAAACAGGTTTTTTTGATGAAAAAACAGCATTTTCTTTTTTCTCTCTGTGTGTTTTTTATGTGCTTGTGTAAATACCCTTCAGCCTTAAACCATAACATCTGTATCTTTTTAACAAACTAAATATACAGCAAAAGTAATACTGAGTCATGCAGTTTTATTGTTTATTATTGCAATTTATGTATCATTATCATATATGGGAAGTTCCAATAAATTAATTTTAAAATGTCATGTATTTGTTTTTAATAGTTCATATAAATTATTTGGCAAATATTAATATTCATTATCAAAGTTGAGAAAATGCCTATAATTCTGGAATATTTTTTTCCACTAATTTTTTTAGCTGTAGAGAAACTATCCATGCAGGCTCAACAGTGACTGGCAAACCACATAAATATTACCTTGCCTTAGTGGACAGATGTGACCTGGATGTGAGTACTCCATAGGATGTGCATATAACTAACTTATCAAATAACTGCTCATCCCAAAGTTCTTGATGGTCTTACTTATAATCCTGCACATAGTGACAAAATAATAATTTGATGGTATTGATGGTGATTTAGTATGGCCTAAACGGGAGCTGCCCTAATCTAGCTCTGGCTTTGATTAGTTCTGACCCATCTTGTCTGCCTGCACTACTGCCACATGACCATTACCGCTTCTTCTAGAATACAAGCGCATGTGTCACCATCTCTTGGATTTAGGTCACAAATAATCTCAACTTGATTTACCTAAATTTGAGGGTCTGTCGGTGCATTGGCCTAGGTGTGACATTTGCTGCAATGTACCCTTGTTCGAATTTTGAAAAATTAAATGCTTAATATCTCCAATGCCAGAGGAATTATGGGAAAAGTTACTATAGAAGTCCTACCGAAAGTCATATGTGGAGATTTCAAATATGGATTTGACCTTAATTCAAGGTAAAATGGGCAAAAATGGTGTAAAAATGGGAATTTTCTGTGAAAAAATATTTGTTTGTGCCAGTTTTCAGAAACTACATGGACCTAAACTTTCATATTATAGTGTAGAATTACTCTTAGGATCTTCTTCCACTCTTTCCATCATGTGAGTTTGGGTTTGATTGGTGCATTATCACAGGAGAAGTAGCCATGCTGAAACTGGAAGCTATAATTTTTAAGTTCAAGTAGTCAACGAAGCATAAATCTCATTGCCTTGGTAATTTCATTCATGGTGCCAAGTTTGTTCCTCATTCCAAAATTATAGTAGTTTACTGAAACATAATATAAGTTAGGGATTTCTGTTTCATACTATATACAGTTATTTCTGTGATATATTATATTTTACATCCACCACTGACCAATTTACTGTGCAGTGTCTTTTCATAATCCAATTTTATGTCAATATTTAATGCTCTTACAAATTGCAATTCAAGTCCTAAAACTTTTACAGCAAAGGCTAGTGTATAACACAAATTTTGAAAGGTATCAAGTTATTCACTTAATTGACAAGTTAATTTAGATGATTTATGTCATGTTTTTGTTGATTTTCAGCTTGCTGATTTTGGTTCTTTATTCACTGGAAGCAAGATTTTACAGCTTGAAGGTATTTCTGATCAATACGAAACTTGATGAAATCTTAATTGCAATTTTATTTTATAATTAAGTATACCCTGAAATTTTATAGCACATAGGTATTATAAATTAATATAAAGTATTAAGTTATTTAACTAACATTATTTAAACATTTATGCAAAATATTGCAACATTTGTCCGAGTTTAGTTTTGTTTCTGATTTTCAGGACTTGACTATGTTAGCCATGATGAAATCTTCCCCTACAAAGATACTAATGTAAAAAATCCAGTGGAACATGTAAACTTGCAGGATTTATTGAGTTTTGATTTAGAATCAGGTAAGAGGAAGAGAAAAATACAGAACATAAAGTTCCAAATATTGTACAGAATAAAACCCTGACTTGGTTTCGTTAGTGACGTCAGAAGCTTACCCTGTTTGTTTTATATCATATCAGAAATCCAGAATTAAATCCACATTGACTTCACCAAGCCCTCAAATATTGAACAAAACCTAGATAATGATTCCAATTTGGTAATAAATGATTGATAACACCCATAGCTTGAAGGTAATCTGTCACTTTTTGTTGTACATCCTATATGGTTTTCTTTTTAATAACATGTATTTAAAAAGACATAACTGATAATAGGTAATCCCTGTTGTAATTTAGGGGTGTAATTTTTGGTTCAGGAATTAGAGATGGGTGAAACTGTCACCATGAGATTTATGTTGTGTAAGATTATATGTTATTTCAGAGAAGAATTTCATCAGCTGTGTAATTTTTTAGGCAGGGCTTGACATTAAAGGTGGCCCACTGGCCCTGGGCCAATGAAAACCAACCTAGGGCCATTGAATCGAAGGGGTCACTGGCCCAAAGTGCAAGTAAAATATCATGTGCCAAATCATCCTTGCAATATTTACCAATATCTTGGGCCAGTCCCAAAAAGTTTGTGTCAAGCCCTGGTAGGGGAAAGTGATTTTCTTCAAATCAACAGCTCATACTGAAATAATGATAAAGATGCTCTAGACATTGAAATATTTGAGGTAAACAATTTCAGTGTTAGTTCTTTATCAAAAATCACTGTATTTCACATTTTTCTAACCTGAAGTAATCTTATGGTATTTTTTGATGCAGTTCAGCCACACCACTTATTCAAACCTGAAGAACTGATTGCAAAAGAGAGGAAAAGACTAAAGCTGCACTTAGTATACAGAGAATCAGCACAAAATATCAAAATGTCATTTATGCCAGTGTATTTAGGAGAAATCAATGAAAAGGTATGCTACATTGAGTTAATATGCCTCCATCCATAAAGTACAAATTTGACACAGTTATTACTTGTTTTTATCCTATAAAAATAACATATATTATCAGATTTTTTAAATTCATAATGCTAGTTAAGGGTTCAATGAAATATATATTTGTGGTGAGTCAGCTTTTTTGCATTTAATTTTTGTGTATTAACATAACTTTTTTGTATCAATTTCAGTTAAAATGCGAAAATGTGGTATGTATACTTGTTACTGAAATATCCGAGTAACTTTGGAAGGAATCTTTTATCAGATACCTGTTTAAAGAGCTTAAATAAATTGATATCTGTCAACAGAAAAATAAATATTATAGTATTATTTTAAACACGGGTTTGCATATTAAATTTAAGTGCTTCTTTCTCCCATGTATTTGTTTATTTCATAAGCTTGATTTGATATGTGTTTATTTGCAGTGGAGGCTAATTATAAGGATAGAGAATTTAGGTGAAGAAGAGCTACTTATAGAAAAACAGGACTATAGAGTTTCATTTGTTGGGCCAGATTCACCACTCCAAGTCAGAAGGGTGCTATTTGACAAAGTGTTTTACCACAATAGTGTAAATACCTTTATTTTATTTATTCATGTTTGAAAACTGCCTATGTGCCTTGTATACCAAGTTACACTTTAATACATTTTATACACTTAAAGGGATTACAACTCTTCGTTTTGGCCAAAAAATGAATTTTCCTGGAGTAAACTATAATTTTCTAATAATTACCAATGGTTAATGAATCCATTTTCACTTTCAAAGTTAGTCCCCGTTTTTTTTTTTTTCCAAAGTTTTTTTTGTTATAATCTCTTAAGAGATTAAAACAGGATATAGCCATCAATGGAGGTCATGTGCGTGGTCTAAAAACAAGCTCAGATATCAGAAAAATAGCTATAACTGCCATAATTGTGGTAAAACAGAATATATTTCTACGAGTTGTTCAACAATGTTTTTATTGTGAAATATAGATATCATACGAAGAGTTATTATCCCTTTAAATACATGCGTTCAGTCATTTGTATTTTCACGAAAAAAAAACTAAAAAAATCATTTCAGAGGAATCATTGGATAACAAATTGTTTGTGAAGATTATTTATTTCTTTTTAAGCATATTAAACCTTGGCTTACAAAGGAAAGGCCTGCGATCCAGTTTAACAATACAATTATTGACTCCAATTCATCAGGTGAAATTTGGTAAGTACCACTTCTGTATATAAATGAAAATATGTTTAATAATTATGTAATTATGTATATAATAATTATGTAGTGCTTGTGTTTCAGTTAAGTTTGTAAATTTGTAATTATTAAAGAGCATTCATTGTTCCATATTATACATCTTCTTAATGCTTTTCACATCAATCACACTGAACTTGCACACATTATTTGTTTTCTTTTTCATCTTTCAGGGGAACCATCACATTCAAAAGTGATAAAGGAAGCATATTAGACTTCAAAGTACCAAAAATTTCCATGGAATCCAGATAGGGGCACTTTACATTGTATGGAACACTTGTGCCTACAAATGGCACTCTTTAAAAAACATTATTGTACCTGACAGTCTGTTTCTACCCTATTTATATTGACAAAATGCTGCACTTATTGTTAAGTATCAAGCCAAAATTGTTACATTTGATTCATATTCATTTTTAAAAGAAGTAACACATACAGCGGTAGCAATGTTATGCAGATTGTTGTTTAACATTTAAAAGTTACAAAATGAATGAGTCAAAAAGGTGTTTTTGTTTTTTCATATATCTTAAATAACGTGGCAGCTTGAATACAAATGCAAACAGGCTTCAATGTCATTATAACAGATATATTTCAAGTAGTAAGGTCAAATAAACAATTTTTTCAAAACAATGAGCTTTCAGCATGAGCTTTTAAACATGAAATATATCATGTTACAACTGAGACCTGTTTATTGTAAAGATAATTTGGTCTTGTGCCCACTTATTGTAAAAAATTCTTGCAATTTAACCTTTGCTCCCTTCCTCCTTCCGCAAAAATTGCATGTCACTAAATTTCATGCTTTTGCTCAGTTTGTTTCTAGGAAATCATGGGTTCTCAAAAGAAACACAGGAATTTTCACTTTAATTATGTCTCCATTTTTCTTCTCCATTGTGTATGCTCCCCTAAAAAGAGAAATATGATCAAAAGTTGGATACACAAGTTGTAATTGTGAAAATAGTTTCATTGGATCTCAGTTTTGATAGTCAAAAAAGTTTTCATTTATGATAGATCCACATATTTTATTTACCTGTTGACTGTTTCGTCTGTTCACTCTGACAGACTCGGTCACAACTACATAGAGCAGTTAAAGAAAAGGTTTGGTTATGAGATGAGGCCACAATACTTACCACATGTAACCATTACTAGTGTGGAGTTCCACATAACTTCTGTACTGAAAGGTTGGCCTGTTCATGTTAAGTATAGGTTCCTGAATTTAAAAAAAATCATATTTGAAGTACACAATCATATTCATTTCTATTTTTGTCTTCTGAAATCAACAGCCTCAATGATAATGGTTATATAACAAACCTTACCTGCCCTACAACCCCTTTTCCATTTACAGTCTGATTTGGACCTCCTGATATATGCCAATGACGCGACCGGAGCTGAACCTGCTCTTTGTTAGTGTTCTCTATCCTTATACAATAAACCCAGATCTGTAAAAGAGTACATTAAGATTACAGTTAAATTGTTATTAAACAGAAAAATTAAAATCATCATTTCACAACCTTTACTCAAATGTAAAAAAAATAGTTTAACTCATTCAGTGTGGAACTTCCTCCACAATCAGATCAACTCTAGTAGTACTAATGATACTTCCTAATATCAAAATTTTGCAGATACATTAGTAATTGTTCCAGATAATTACATATATGTTACCTATATACTTACATATTTGTTTTGGTCATCTAGTATAGGTATAACATCCTAAAATGGTTTAAATAAAGAATGTGTAGAAATTTAGCCTTTGTTTGAAGTCTTTGCTGTACTTTAAATATAACAATACTTGCTGAAATACGAAGAAATTTCTTCTATCACATGTGCTTCATATCAAGGTGAGTTAGATATATGATTGTTTAATATTGTCATTATAATCATTATGACATTGTTGTACAATACCAATGACAAAAATGTCACTGTGAAATAAACTATCAATATCACACAGGGTAAAAACATACCACAAGGGATGGCATAACTGTGACCTTAATTCCATGAGTGCAAGCCACATAGACATTTAAAGGCTCCTGTAGGTGCATTTTACATTTTTTCTTCCAGTTATTTAGATGAGCTCTAGGCCTACAGTTAGGGACTGAAAATGAAAGGAAAAGATCAAATATTAAATTGTTTACAGCAAATCTATTATAAAAAAACCAGTGATAACTCATGATTAATAAACAAATATGGAGCTTCTGGAGATGAAGGAAGATTGTAGTTATGTCAGGCGAAGATTTAAAAATTCCAAATTTTTATTCTGCCTTACCTTCTTTGAAATTGTATGTGAAAAAATTCTCGAATTCCGCATGTTCTACGGGCCAATCTGACACTGTTGATGTGTATGGTAACATGTCTTCATGGGCAACAAAGCCAAAGCCTGTAATGGACACGACACCAAACATTAACACACTCTTTGTGCCTTTGATGTGATCATATCATCAATATGAAAATCTTAAGAACTGGTCTCATATTAGAAATGACTGATAAAGCTTAGGTCACAACACAGTGTTATGATCTATATGTGGCCATGCCACATCACCAACTTGAAGGAACAGAGGGAATGCCTTGACTACCTATGATGAGCTAAACTTAATCAGATGCCACACAAAGCATTGTAAATGAATGCACACTGACACATTCACTAAGTAGTAATATAAATATATTGCAATTATGTCCTAAGCAGACTTTTACAGGTAATCATACCATTGAGTATCTGTGGTTTCAATTCACCCTTTTGAGCCATAAAAATACATTCTTCATTGCCAGCCTGCAAAAGACAAAAGTAGTTCAAATTAATAATGATTCATAAACCATTTCTACTATTGAACCATTTTGATTCTGTATCCACAAATTTCCAATTCAAAACATAAAAACATTATCATCGCTAATTTACCTAAAATACGTATTCAAAGATTTCAACAGATCTTACATTATAAGAAAACTTACCCCTTCCATACTTGTATCCTCCAGGTCTACAAGCACTTGGTAATAAATTTCTTCTGCTGGCAGTTTTATAACATCAAGACTTGTATAACAAAGAAATTAATACATTTACTTGAAACTGCAAAATTATTTTTTTTATTTTGCACTGAATATCAAAGCAACTCAATTCATCAATTGGACATGTCATGCTACAAGTTGATTAAAATTTTATTTAAAATGCCATGCTTTCGAAAAGAAAAAAAAACCCACAGCTTCCAGCAAATGATGCATCAGAAAAATGTAATTCCAAATATCATTTACTGTAGACAAGCATGTAATAACTATGTTCCTACCTGCCATCTGGTGTTACAGATATATCTCTGTCATCATAAATCTTTGCCTGACATGGATATAAAACCACTCCTCTGTATCCAAGTTTCTTGTGGATAAATAGCTAGAAAACAAGTTTTTTTTTAAACAAGTTTCGTTAAAACATAACTCCTCTGTAGCTAAAAACAATTAACATCCCGTTTCACATACAGAAATTTTATCATTACTATTACTATTCACAATGCGGCCTTACAGCTACTATTACGTACTGCAAGATAATCGTCCTGTGGAGTACAGAAGCAAATTACTGAGATGTGATATTCAAACATTAAAAGTGAAATACTTGATGTCATGCATGGTTTGGAAAAGTCTCATTATTATGCATATGGCTGTAAAGTCACAGTTGAAAGCGACCAAAATATTAAGAATTCAATTTTCAAGAAGGATTTGAACAGGATGATGTTAGAAATTCAAAAATATGACATCAGCGTCAAACATGTGCCAGGAAAGAACAATCCAATAGCTGATGCTCTTTCCAGATTATCCTCATGCAAAGGCGTCACCATTCAAGGTGTAGATGTCACTCTACACAAGATTGACATGCAGCTAAATGCTAGCCCTACTAAAACAGATACTAGATGAAACATCATCTACTCCCTTCATAATTTCATTATACAAGGATGACCCAGTACAAGGTTGGAGTATCCTGCACCTCCAAGACTTTTGGAACTGCTGTGATGAATTATCAGTTATGATTCGTAGTGACTAATAGTTNTACAATACCAATGACAAAAATGTCACTGTGAAATAAACTATCAATATCACACAGGGTAAAAACATACCACAAGGGATGGCATAACTGTGACCTTAATTCCATGAGTGCAAGCCACATAGACATTTAAAGGCTCCTGTAGGTGCATTTTACATTTTTTCTTCCAGTTATTTAGATGAGCTCTAGGCCTACAGTTAGGGACTGAAAATGAAAGGAAAAGATCAAATATTAAATTGTTTACAGCAAATCTATTATAAAAAAACCAGTGATAACTCATGATTAATAAACAAATATGGAGCTTCTGGAGATGAAGGAAGATTGTAGTTATGTCAGGCGAAGATTTAAAAATTCCAAATTTTTATTCTGCCTTACCTTCTTTGAAATTGTATGTGAAAAAATTCTCGAATTCCGCATGTTCTACGGGCCAATCTGACACTGTTGATGTGTATGGTAACATGTCTTCATGGGCAACAAAGCCAAAGCCTGTAATGGACACGACACCAAACATTAACACACTCTTTGTGCCTTTGATGTGATCATATCATCAATATGAAAATCTTAAGAACTGGTCTCATATTAGAAATGACTGATAAAGCTTAGGTCACAACACAGTGTTATGATCTATATGTGGCCATGCCACATCACCAACTTGAAGGAACAGAGGGAATGCCTTGACTACCTATGATGAGCTAAACTTAATCAGATGCCACACAAAGCATTGTAAATGAATGCACACTGACACATTCACTAAGTAGTAATATAAATATATTGCAATTATGTCCTAAGCAGACTTTTACAGGTAATCATACCATTGAGTATCTGTGGTTTCAATTCACCCTTTTGAGCCATAAAAATACATTCTTCATTGCCAGCCTGCAAAAGACAAAAGTAGTTCAAATTAATAATGATTCATAAACCATTTCTACTATTGAACCATTTTGATTCTGTATCCACAAATTTCCAATTCAAAACATAAAAACATTATCATCGCTAATTTACCTAAAATACGTATTCAAAGATTTCAACAGATCTTACATTATAAGAAAACTTACCCCTTCCATACTTGTATCCTCCAGGTCTACAAGCACTTGGTAATAAATTTCTTCTGCTGGCAGTTTTATAACATCAAGACTTGTATAACAAAGAAATTAATACATTTACTTGAAACTGCAAAATTATTTTTTTTATTTTGCACTGAATATCAAAGCAACTCAATTCATCAATTGGACATGTCATGCTACAAGTTGATTAAAATTTTATTTAAAATGCCATGCTTTCGAAAAGAAAAAAAACCCACAGCTTCCAGCAAATGATGCATCAGAAAAATGTAATTCCAAATATCATTTACTGTAGACAAGCATGTAATAACTATGTTCCTACCTGCCATCTGGTGTTACAGATATATCTCTGTCATCATAAATCTTTGCCTGACATGGATATAAAACCACTCCTCTGTATCCAAGTTTCTTGTGGATAAATAGCTAGAAAACAAGTTTTTTTTAAACAAGTTTCGTTAAAACATAACTCCTCTGTAGCTAAAAACAATTAACATCCCGTTTCACATACAGAAATTTTATCATTACTATTACTATTCACAATGCGGCCTTACAGCTACTATTACGTACTGCAAGATAATCGTCCTGTGGAGTACAGAAGCAAATTACTGAGATGTGATATTCAAACATTAAAAGTGAAATACTTGATGTCATGCATGGTTTGGAAAAGTCTCATTATTATGCATATGGCTGTAAAGTCACAGTTGAAAGCGACCAAAATATTAAGAATTCAATTTTCAAGAAGGATTTGAACAGGATGATGTTAGAAATTCAAAAATATGACATCAGCGTCAAACATGTGCCAGGAAAGAACAATCCAATAGCTGATGCTCTTTCCAGATTATCCTCATGCAAAGGCGTCACCATTCAAGGTGTAGATGTCACTCTACACAAGATTGACATGCAGCTAAATGCTAGCCCTACTAAAACAGATACTAGATGAAACATCATCTACTCCCTTCATAATTTCATTATACAAGGATGACCCAGTACAAGGTTGGAGTATCCTGCACCTCCAAGACTTTTGGAACTGCTGTGATGAATTATCAGTTATGATTCGTAGTGACTAATAGTTCAAATATTCAGTTAACTACTATGGATACATAGACAAACATTAAAATGCAAGTATCTGGTGTCTTCAAGTCACCGATATCTAGTGTTTTTAAAGTGGCAGTGTAACATAAACAAGTCTGACAGCAGGGGCCTTTAAGGTCACCTCCTAGGAACAACGTCTTGTATATATCTCAGCACATATAGAAATGAAATCAGTTGTAGTAGTTTCCATTTTTCTTGAGAGTTGTTCCATATGATTCTCCTCATGATATTAATTAGTGTCCATTTAAACAACCCGTGAGACCATTTCATTGACAGTCACCATCTCAAATCATGAACATTTGATTTAATATTATAGATGGATAACACAATGTACATTAATCCTATACATAGCTATAATTACTTTTTAAAAAAAATTAAATATTGTATACTCAAACAGTTATAATGACAATCACCTGCCCACTGTTGTACTGTCCTTTGAGATCATTTTGCTGATTTCCAATATGGACACCGTAACTGTAATATATAAAAGTTTTAAAAAAATCATTATTATTATTAACTAATTAATAAAAAAAGTTTTGAATAACTGACTGCATTTTGTCTCTACTGCTAATCATGATGTAATTGCCTTTGACTAAACGTGCACTAACTCTGGAATATGAGGACCCACAGAGATTGTCAAGAAGTGGATATTCAGAGGTATTTAAGGGCCTCAAGGTTCACTTGTCGTTATGAGGTCTTACCAGCTGTAAGGCTTAGGGTACCGTGAGAATGCAGGGCCAAAAACTGAGGCTAGTAGAACCGCGGACAAAATTCCACATACCGTATTTTTGCATAGAGAATCGTACCTTATTTGCCTTGAAGTGCATAACTTGTTGTTTTGTTTGAAGGCAAAAGTAATGCTTTTCGCGACTTTTCGCATCATCGTCCCTTGCAGATATTTGGGACAAAGTCAAAGTTCTTCTGGTAAAGAAGAGCAAAATAAAGTACACAAGTTAAATCAAGGACAGGCTGAGGCGAAACTGTTGTTTGATTTATTAATTATCATGTAAAATCTAAAGGAAAAAACATGATTTAAGTATTTATCTTAAGCTCAGGGATTTTGTAAATTAATGGTTGGGGTAAAACAGTCACACGTGACTCCGAAAAAATACGTTGGTCTTGCCTTGGGCATAACACGTGTATTTGCTCTCGCCTGCCCTCTATAAACCGGAAGTTCTGCTATCCATGTGGTCACAGCAAAATGGTGAAGCACAAGAAAAAGGTATGTTTATCAAAGTGGTGGAGAAATTGTTATTTGAATTATCTAAAGCAGTCCTTACTTACTGATCGCACGTTTAACAGATTATCATAGAGACTTGTCCAGTATTTACATGTACTGTAGTTTCTTGCCAAGATGCCCTCAGTACGCTGTACAGTACTGAGGGTTTAACATGCTTACCGTGTAAGTACATGTACATGTAGGCTAGGACCTTACATTGAAGCTGTGTGCCCCAATGGTGGACCCATTAGAAAACAACACTTAACTAGGGTTGCTGGAACCTAAACAGATTTTAAGTGAACAGTGAATTTAAACACAATGTATTTTTCCTTTATATTAATGTTTGTACATACATGCATTTATACTATATTCCATTTGATTAAGCAACACCACCTTTGTTAATGCCCATCATTTGTTTTATTTCCAGTTTGAGAGTGGTGCAGCTACGGCATATGTGTCTAGAAACCGGGCACTGAAAAAATTACAGCTGTCATTACCAGATTTTAGGTGAGGAAATAAGATTTGAAGTCTCAGTATCTTGACATACTGTAATTTATTGAAGGTACACTTTGATATTATTTGTTAAAGATTCCTGAGAAAAACTCATGCTTAATTAATTTTTTGGGGTTAACAGTATTTCTTCTTACTAGTCAACCTTTAATCCCACTTTTCTGATACTCGCTATAACTCAGTAACAATCTGGGAAAACAGCAAAGTCCTTATCCCATGCTTAAGTAATGTTTTTTTTTAATTCCCCCATCCCTTCCATCTCAATTCAAGCACACATTTTGCATTACTTGAAACTCTGTCAGGACTGAAGATAGGCATCAAGATTGTGAGGAGGGGGTAGATTTGATTATTATTTTGCCATATTCATTCAAGTCATTTATCACATGGTTTAAAATATGAGCAATAAGTATTAATTACTTGTCCTCAGGTAACTTCAACAAGAAATGGTTTATAAATGCACTTGACATGTGTTTGAAATTGTACACTTTGCCTCTTTATAGTTTGTTATGAAGTCAAGATGATGATCCCAATAATGGGAGTGATGATGATTGAATCCTGTGATACACATCTTTTAGTTATTTAACTTAATACATTTAATTAAAGAGTAAATTGTAACATGTGTCCTAAGGTAAGAAAAAGTAATGGCCAAGCTCATCTTCACAATGGCACATGTATATTGTTCCAGGCGACTATGCATCTTAAAGGGCATTTACCCCCATGAACCCAGGCATAAGAAGAAGGTGGGGAAGGGCAGCACAGCCCCTAAAACCTACTATTTTTACAAGGACATACAGTTCATGGCACATGAACCTATCATACAAAAGTTTAGAGCATTTAAGGTAGGTGTTGTTTGAATTTATGTTGACGCTTTAAGAATTTTTTACATTAGACAAGGATTGTTAAGTGTTTTTGATGTTTTTTTTATCAGAGAAGACCAATTGTTTTAAAGGGCATAGTTATTCTGATGGAATAAGACACTGTGTAGACATTTTTTGGTATTAGAATTGTTATGACACTTGCTACATTTGTTGTTATCACAACATTCCGTTTATAATTTACAGATTTTTGTCAGAAAACTGAAGAAGGCTCTTGCTAAAAATGAATCTGATAAAGCAATGCGCCTTAGAAACAACAAGCCCAAATATCAGCTGGACCATATTATCAAAGAAAGGTATATATATATATATAGATAGATATCTTGTATCTTTCTTCACCCAAGAGATTATGAAATTTTTGGACTAAAATGTAATCAGTCAAGTTGAGCATTATATGAAAGCACTTCTGACACATTAGGTATATTCAGACAGTTCACTTTATTTTTCTCCAGGTACCCTACCTTCATTGATGCTATACGAGACTTAGAAGACTGCCTGTCTATGTCATTTTTGTTCTCAACTTTTCCTAAGACTAGAAAGACTCACTCAGAAATCATACACTTGTGTCGCAGACTAACAGTGGAGTTCATGCATTATGTTATTGCTTCTAAGTCATTGAGAAAGGTAAAATTATTCAGGTTTGACAGCAGATAATGTATTTTTTATAGTTTTTATAGCACTACCATTGTTAATATTTGTTAAAGTCCTGTTTAATATACCAGGTGGATTTATATGTGTTATGGTAACAAGATTGAGAATAGTTCCATCTATATTCTCAGTCCTAGACCTGCTGAAATATGTATACTAAATCTAGTCATAGATTTAAAAACTATTTATATGGATGGTGTTGAACATACCAATGTATTTTATTTTAGGTATTCATTTCCATCAAAGGAATATATTTTCAAGTGGAGATTTTGGGTCAAACAATAACTTGGGTTATTCCTCACAAATATGGTTATGATGTAAGTCCTTGTGATCGTTAAGTATTTCCCAGATCTTGATAGAATTATTTTCGTGATGTAGATGTTGAGTAATTTAAAATTATTTGGGCAATTTTATTTTGTAAAGATAATGCCAATGCTAGAATTTTTTAAAACAGGCTGTTATTTCTTAGCAACAGAATTCTCACTTTTATAAACAAATATGAAATTATATTTCAGCACCCTGAAGACGTAGACTACAAAATCATGGCCACCTTTGTGGAATTTTACACCACAATGCTTGGTTTCATCAACTTCAAATTGTACAATTCCCTTAATTTGCATTACCCTCCAAAGGTGAGTTTAACTTGTAATCCATCCATTTATTTGGGAATTTTTAAAAATAATGCTCTGTAAGGATTTCATATCTGTAGAAAATTTCATGGTTTGTCCTGTCAAGTAACATGCCTAATGCTTAGTCCTGTAGGAAATTATTTTGTATATTTCAGCTTTCATTAGAAACTGAGCCAGTTACAAGTGAAGAAAAAGATGCATGTTCCGAGGCTGAGAGACTGGAGGAGGTAAGCCAATTGGCTCTGCAGAAAACATGCTTCAGAAATCTTGTATAGTTTGTGCTAGTAAGGAAATATGGCCTGGTCCAGCGTTTTAACCTAACGACCAATTTTGTTAAATTTTGTCTCTGTACTGGATGATGGTAGGCTTTGTTTTATTGTGTTAGAAATCTTTAAATTTTGAAAATGTATTGTAATTTTATAATTTACAACAGTATATGTTTTATTTCTGTATTTCTGCTGTTTTTTATGTAAAAGATATTTTTGAATTTTCAAAATGTGGGTTAAGTGGATGCAGGAAAATTCTTATCAAGCTTCTAAAACCTCTGCTTTAGAGATTGGCAGCTATGACCCAGACGCTGAAGTCAGTGGTTGATGACAGCCAGGAAGAGGAGGTGGAGATGGATGAGTTTCCAGCTTCACAGGTACTTATAGTTGTGGGCAGGGCTTTTCCTAGTTTTAGAGGTACAGGTCGTTCAGAATTAGCACCTGTAATGATTTTTTTTCATATTTGAGGGTGGTATAATATAAAAGAGCAAAAATAATTATACAATTATATGAACATTACACACAAAAATTCTCACAGAGTTGTGATTTTATCAGTTGTACCTCTTCTTCAGTCAGATGATCCAGATATTATAGAGCAGGCAAAGGTGGAGCAAGAAAAGCTGAAAAAATTTCAAAATCTATTCAAAGGCTTAAAGTTCTTTCTAAATAGGGAAGTTCCAAGAGAAACACTTGTCTTTGTTATAAGGTAAGTATAAGGTTTGTCTTAGATTTTTATTGTAATGTGTAAGAGATTGAAGAAGTTTTGCTGGATTGAAATTCTGAAATGAAAACTTGTCCCTGGGAAATTGATGATTTCAGATGTAAAAATTATAGCTTCCCCCTTCTTAGAGTTGGGCTCTTTTCAGATCAAGTGTTATGCTTAATTGAATGGTTTCACTTTGTAAAGTCTTAACATGTAATTGCTCTACAGGGGTTTTTATCCCCCTTCATTAGTTTTCCACAGTTTTGCTGCCTGGTGTTAATTAATTGGCTGTATTAAGTGTGGGGGCGACTCTTCTACGTGATAGCCATGTTTCTGAATTGCTAATCTTGCAAAGTGTCCGCATAGATTAAGTGTACTATTCAATATGAAAAAAGACCATCCAGTGTTAACCTTAGTTGAGGTCTGTGTATTCTTCAGGTCATTTGGAGGTGAAGTGTCCTGGGACAAAACTGTGGCAGTTGGTGCTACCTACTCTGAGACAGATGAGACAATAACTCACCAGATTGTGGACAGACCAAATGTTGCAAAGCAGTACTTATCTAGGTATGAAAAAGAAACAAACGCAAATATCAGTCCGTATATTGTATCAGTGCCCAAGGCTGTATCTGATTCGGCAGTTTTGCTGTTTCAAGTGCATTGCAGAATCCAAAAAGGTTCAAGAATCTTTAGAATAGTTTCAGTATTTCACATAATAGGAAGGTTACAAGACCTAACTGTGATTAGATACTGTGGGTGGTGAAGACATTTGACCCAGCCATAGCTCAGGTTTGATGATAAATTTAACTTCAAATCCATTTTGATTTACAGGTATTATGTTCAGCCCCAGTGGTTATTTGACTGTGTGAATGCCAGGAAGTTGCTTCCTGTGGAGGATTATTTCCTGGGAGCTATACTGCCACCACACCTGTCTCCTTTTGTGGAAGAGGGAGAGGACGATTATGTGCCGCCAGAAAGGCTTGAGGCACTGGAAGAAGATTCAGGTAGTTGTGTCTTTTAGTACCTTTCAGACTGAACATTTTACATTGCTTTGTAATCCACAGTTACTAGATTATGTTATTCCAAAATAGTTTTATTTCATTTTGAACATTTTTCTAACATTAAGATACTCAATGCAACAATAGTTTGAAACAAACAAGATGGGAATTAGAAGTTTATAAGGTGTCAGAGTATTGATATAGTTCAAAACGGTAATGTGATGTGTGGAAATTTACTAAAGATTTTAAAACAATTTAGAAACGAGTCAACCTGCATTGTTAATGAAATAGGTGTCAATGAAGATTCAGAGGAAGAGGATGTAGAGGAAAATGATAATGAGGGAGGAGACGAATCAGACGAGGATGTTGATGAAGAGGAGGAAGAGGAAGAAGATAGTGATGTGGAGGAGGATGAGGATAGTGAGGAGGAAGATGCTGCTTTAAGAAAGCAAAAGAAAAGGAAGTTGCATGATGTAGAAATAGACCATATGAAGAGAAAGAAACGAGAAATGAAGGTAAACTAACATGTAATTGAATTAAGATGAAAAGAATGTTCCCAAGTTTTTATCTACTTTAGATCAATAATACAGGTTTTAACTCTAAGAAAATATTTAGTGGGCATACATGTTTCTGATTTTTGTAGGTCTTGAATATGTCTGTAGAAGCAGGAACTGTTGAGACAGATGATGTGGAGAAAAAACTAAAAAAACAGACAGACGAGGAAAGAAAACTGTCAGAAATGATGATTCCTAAGAAAAAACGCAGACTTTACAACAAAATAATGTATTCTAAGAAAAAGAAAGCACAGGAGGTGAGTAATGTGTTCAACGTTTTCATGTGAGAACTTTGATCAAATATGTGAAATAATCTTATACTCTGATTTAATTATGCCTGAAGGCTGTGCTTGTTGCATATAAGGAGACAGGTATACCATACCTGCTCCATTCTTGTATATTTATTGTGAAAAGAATGTGCAAAGAATGCATGTTGACATTTACATTGTTTAAGTCAAGTGAAATAAGTTTATTTAATGGTTTATCCATAACACTCCTCTAAGCGATAGTTTGTTACGATAAGAATTTTGTTAAGTACACCAAAGAAATTCCTTGTTTTCCAAATTTATTTGACTTTAAATAAATTCATGGTGTTAATATAGTATCTCAATCATCAGATTTTTTTTATTCAAACTTAATTGCTTTTTATGGAAAATACTAAGATTAATATACACTCTTGCCCAAAATGGTTGGTACACGGAAATTTTGTAATGCATTTCACTCTGTTTCTTTCATGTTTATTGTTATTACCAAAACTATATCCTTTATGTTGCTAAATATGTAGGTTTAGCAAAGTAAAAGAGAAACAAAAAATGCAAATCTAAGAAAAGCGTTTATTTATTAAGGTTTTTTTCCTCATGCCCCCCGAAATGAGTATCTTTTTATACTATAGTAACAAGTGAAAAATTAAACATAAATTTGTTTTGTGATTGACAATTAATTTGAGATTTGGGGAGATTGTCATGAAAACCCTTCAGACCTTATTATTAATCTTAGTAGCGGGAATACTCCACCGCAAGCTTGGATTATGGCCGCCAGGCGGCGTGGCATACTGTGAACTAGAGTTACAGCACTTTGGAAAGGAATTCTGGTCCATTCAACTTGAAGGGCATTTCGAAGTTGATCTAAATTTGCAGCGGAAGGGTTTTTCCTTTGAATGGCACAACCAAGTTCGTCCCACTTGTGCCCAATTGGGTATGCATCTGGGCTGTTTGCTGGCTGTGGCATCAGCTGAATGCTGTTTTGGCGGATATAGTCGTTAATTTAACGGGCTGAATGGGGAGTTGCGTTGTCATGTTGCAATCTAAAATTGTCTCTTTATATCCCTCCTGCAAATGGCCCCATTTTCTGTTGGAGAATGTCTCTATATCTGGCAGCATTAAGGTTTTCATCCAGAGGAAGCAATGGGCAAATGCTGTTGCTGCAAATGGCACCACAAACGTGTAGAGAACCACTTCCTCCAGCTATTGTTTCTTGGATATTTTCAGTCAACAGCCATTCTCCAAAGAGTCTGCGCATTCTCATTATTCCATCTGTTCGATACAGTAGAAAAGGGGACTCATCAGCAAACACCATGTGATTTCAATGTTGGACCGTAAGGTCACGGTTCTGCCGCGCCCACTGCAGCCTGTTTGCTCGATGTGCAGGTGCCAAGCGTGGCTTCTTGGACATTCTTCTTGAAGGATAGGGGTGTTCCAACAGCCTGCGGTTTACCGTCTGGCCAGACAATCTAGCCAAACGTTGGGCCTGTAGCTCCAGGTCAATGGTTTTGGCAGTTTTGGTCCGCTCTCTTCTTGCCAGGTTGATGATGACACAATCACTTTTGGCGTTTCCACTTCAGGGTCTACACGTAGATTTAACAGGTGTCACATTATCTGTCACAACCTTTCTCCTCAAGATTCTATTCACAGTTTTCCTGTCCACACCCAAACGTCTGGCTATCTCAATTTGTTCCTCGCCCATATTTGCATATGCAACCATCTGGTGTCGTATTACCATATCTGTAGGTTGCAGCATGGTCTCAGTAATCGGTAGACATAGTTACTAATGTGCAAATCTCCGCAAAAACTGACAGAACATGACAAACGCACCCCACCCCACCAGCACTGTACCAAAACTCTGTGACATGTTTCACACACCCCAGACATTCCAGTCATAACCAATAGAGAATGACTGACTGAAAAGTGTTCATAGTACACATGCATATTACTTAATGTCGTGCCAATTGCTGCAACGACTCCTTTTTCGTACCAAGTGTTACGTTTTAGAAATTATAGTAAAATATCCCAAAAAGTGAAGTTATTTTCGACGTGTACCAACCATTTTGGGCAAGAGTGTATTAAGACCGTAGTTTATTGCTTGAAATTATAATCTAGATATTTGTCACGATTTGGCATAATGGACAGTAACAAATGTTGTTTTTTCCTACAATGTTACATCCATTTATAAATGTTTTTTTTTTTTTTTGTTTGTAATTAACTGTTTTATTTTTGATTTCAATTTTTCATTTATCAGGTCAACAAGTTGAAACAGAAACGTGAGGCATATGATAAAGCTCAAAAAGCAGAGAAAAAGAAGAAGAGAAAAGTTGCTGCATGATTCACAAATTAAAGTCCGGGGATGCCTTGTTCCAATTTATGAGACTGAAAATATTGGAGAGTGATTGTTTTGTAGGCCTGCAACTAAAGAAATTTCATGTATCCCCATTGGTATTCATGTATCCATGGAATTATCTTTTTAAGTGTAAATCTTAAATGAAAGGACTGTCATATGGTTCGCAAAATCATTACATTATCCTATGGTGTCGTAAAAGCAAATGATTACGATTTCGTTCAAAGAATAGGGAAACAGAGGAGAGACCAATCCAAATGGTTCAACGTATGTGAAACTGTGATGCTGAAAAGAAAATAGTTTTAAGTTTTCATGAAGACATAAAATTATATTGAACAAATGTGTAGAACTACTCAAACCTTACATGTTCTTTGCGTCATGTTGAATATTACAGAAAATGTCATTTATGTTATCAGGAAGAAAGATTGCAAGGGAGCTTGCGATTGGTGTACACATTAACATTTTCACATCATTTAGTCATGCATGTATATATGGGAATCTGAATAAATCGATATCCTCTTACCTATAGTCTCTCCGTACTTCCGTATTTGTCAGCCAAGCGGTGACCAGGCGAGGTGAATAACAGGGTCCTTATATGGAAAAAGTAAAATGTGGCATGTTCAGACTTCAAATACATTTTGTTATATCACAATGTTTTCATTCGACCTGTTTAATTCATTAACAATACGGAAACAGGCTTTTTTAAATGTATTCCTTAACATAAGTATATTGAAGGAAGATAGGTAATTTGGATGTTATTTTTATCAAGAACTTTGACATGGTAAAGAAATGTGGTGGTATTGAACTGTTCGTGAAAACATTACATATTTAGTAAATTACCCAAACACCATCGATGGAAGATGCTCAAAGTGGGCTAAAAACTCCAGATTTAAACCGTTGAATGAAGATTGCACACTTGTCTCTTTCCATCCATCCTGTCACCAGACAATGCCTGTGCGACCAACGCCGCTTACTTTTCTTATTAACAGTCACAAATCTGCTACTATCTTACTGAAGACATCTGTAAGGTTTCAATAAAAGTCGACCAAAATTATTTAGCGCGTATTGAAAATTTATTGGAAAAATGGGTCACTGATTTATTCCACATTTTGTGGAGTCATCTGTTGCACGAAGATGCAGGTGGATTCGAAAATCGGCGTGATTTGATCATAATTTAACCTGTTATTAGAAGGACGTAACTTGAAGGACTTCGTCATTTACCATAAAATGTATTTTTGACTAATTCATTTATCTAAATTTTGTATTGGTCACCGATTTATTTCCCACTTTGTGGAGTCGTCTGTTGGACGATGATCCAGATTTAAAAGTCGGCCTGATTGGATCATACTTTAACGGTAAATCTGTCATTATTAATTTTTGAAGGACTTTCTCTTTTACCATGAAATGTATTTTTTGTCTAATTTTATTTATCTATTTATTCTAAAGGCATTTATGTTCATCGAATTTCGTTGTATTTAGTTATTAATTTTGCACAGTCATGGAAAGTAAGACAGTGCTACAAGCTAGGTCTCTGGGTCAAAGTTTAAGTAAAAAATATGATATAATTTACCCTGTATCGGTGCGCCATAAGGAATAGAAACTCAGAAAAAATATTTAGTCAAATCCACGAATGGCAAAGTATTAATGCAAATTTAAAATTGATTTTTCTCGTTTACATGGGGGGCAAAGTATAGATTTTAAAGCATTTTTTGGTATTTATCCCTATTGTATAACAGCAGGTGATTAATGTAAGTACGTGGTAAATATCGGATGCAGCTTGAAGTGGTATTTGCTCCTTTGTGACTTGTGCTAATCTATTTGGGTTCCATATTTGCCTTTAATTTAGAGCATCGATGTCGTAGCACCGATACCGCTTCTAAAGTGTAATCAAATTGGTCGATATGATCAGACATTGATTTTTTTCATTGTGTATCCAAGTTGACAGAATAACAAAATGTGGCTTTGATAATATACTCTGTGGACTCACGTGATTGCTTGCCAACAATAAAAACAACAGTGAACTTTCCAATAATTCGATATAATGCAAATGTCAGTTAATTCAGTGCCTGCCAGTCTATATCTCAATCATCTGGACGAAGTGGCATTTATTCACCTTGCTTGATAGAAACGCGGACAAATGAAACACCGATGTGTTTTAACTTCAAATATTTTAATAATTTCGCGCATTGTATGTTAGCATTGTTTGATAAGAAAACAGCCTGCTAATGTCGCGGCCTCGCTGCTGAACGTTATTTCAACAATTAACTAGAGGACCTTAAGAGTGACAGGTGTAAACACGTTTTATTTTCACGCCGAATTTTGGGTTCAGCGAGGTTTAGACGAAAAGCCATAGTCACCCTAGCAACAATGTAATGGGAACAAGCTGAAGTGACATTTTACGGACGACCAGTCAGGGACGATAAAGGTAGGTCTTAGATACCCCTTTTTAGTTAGTTTGCTCCAGCGTCTTTCCTCTTACTTTACGCTTAGCAGTAAGAACGAGATGGGCGAATGTCCTACCATCTCATTTTGAAATTTGCTGATGTTTCAACAGGCCTACTCTTTAACAGGTTTGGCAATAATTATCAAACATGAATTGAAACTGTCAGGTTCAGATATTCACTATGTGTCTAATAACATTATTATTATTATTATTATTATTATTATTATTATTATTATTATTATTATTATTTCAGTAATCAGAGTAAGAAAGACACAAGAATCAAGATGACCACTTTGCACGTCCCGCAGATCTCCATTTCTCCCGTGGACTCGGATATTCACAGCTTAGACGGTAAACTTCCCATGGCAAGAAAAAAAAAACATTGAACGAAAATATTGATTACCACATGCTACTCAACTCAAAAGTCTAAAACTTGTGAAGTATTAATTTAGGATTGCCAACAGTGCCCAAAATGCGTAGACCTTAACAATGAAATTACAACTGAAAACAAACGGAATCGATATCGAAAAAACACACTGAATATGTGTTTAAGTGTAGAGTAGATAGCCCTGTTTATTAAAAGCAAAGATAACTTCTTTAGAGCGATCTTTGTTATTATTCGATTAAGAATTGCTATGTTTAACATATTTGTGAAAAATTAATCAAATTCGAGCTTAGCACGGCTTTGCTTATTGGCGAAATGAACGGGGCGAATGAAAAAAAAAACGCTTTTGATTGAGGTATTTTTGATGGCTGGAAAGGACGGATTTATCACTGGGTAGTTAAGAAAATATTAAAAAATGCCATGAAAATCCGTTTTGAAAGGAACGCCAATAAAAAGCCACCTTTTCCTTTCGACAAAGTGCCACACTTGTATTTCTTCAGAATAAACGGCTTAATTTAATTGGCATAACGGCCCTGAATTTTGAAATTGCAAATTTTTGAATAAATAATTTTCGTTTTTTTTTTCATACCGTTTTACAAAGTTGATTGAATCAAATATACAATAATATACACTTTCAGATCTGTTCCGTAAAAGCAGACGTTTACAGAAGGTTTTGAGTGACACAGAGCAACAGCTTATCCGTGGCATCATTGACGCCAGACGAGATGCTGCCATTTCACGCGCCGAGCTCGAGCGTGAAAAGATGATGTTAAGTTCTGAAGTACAAGAAAAAGATTCCCGAATGGAACAACTTCAAGATGAACTTAACGAGAAAATACAGCTACGTGCCGAGATGGCCGGCCGGACCGAAAAACTGTTGGATATTAAAGAAAAGCAGCGAAAACGGGACGTGACTAAATTAGAAAAAACAATTAAAGAGCTACATCAAGACATTTACGAAAAAGCCCAAACAATTGATCAACGAGAAAAAGAATTAGTCGATTTCAAGGAACAAATACGAGGGCTTTTAGAAGAAAATGATAAGCTTAGAGAATCAGTAGCAATCCACGAACGCGTTTTTGTTGAGAAAAACGAACTCCAAGAAGAAATCATTCGAGTAAAACGCGACCTAGAAGAAAAGGACAATCTTTTAAATAAGTTTGTTTATCCTGTGCAGGAAAACCAATCTGACAGTAAAGAATCGAACCTCCTAAAGCGTGTGTTAACCCCCAGACCAAAACAGCTGGAAATGGAAGTAAACCAACTGAAAATAAGACTTGCACAAAAAGAGAGGGAACTAGATGATATGGCAGACGACTTACAACAGAGAGAGGTCGAAATGGAGAGACTGCAAGAACTAAACAAAAACCTCGAAGAAAATGTCAAAGCAATGAATGCGAAATACGAAGCGAAAGCCGTGGAGTTGGCGCAACTGAATGAAAGGCAAAGCAAAAGAATGAATAAATTAAATGGAGAAGTGAAAGAACTGATGATAGAAGCCAGCAAAAATGGTGTGTCGGAATCTCAGCGCGAGATTAAAGCTCTAGAATGCAGCGTTTTACTCTTATCAAACCAATACAATAACTTACAACATGAGCTTCAAAGAATTTCTAGAAAAATAAGGGAAATCAGTGACCAGGATGTTGAATTATCAAGCGTTCCGGTGGCAAAACGCTTTTCCGTTTTGATCAACAGTCTTAAAGAGGAGAACATTAAAGAGAAAGACAAGCTTCAGAATACAGCATCAGTATTAAACGGGGATTTAAAAGGATGCAGTGCGAAGCTACAACTTGTCAAGTGGAAATTGGAAGCTAAGATGCGCGGACTCCCTGATATTGAAGAGCAAAAATTCCCGCGCAGCATACTCAAATATACGCCGTCTACGCCCCAGAAAAACTACACGGGGAGCGGGGTAAGCCCACAACCCAGTAAAGACAAGACGGAGGCTTCTTCGTCTACGCCATCAACTAAACCTACATCAGCAGATTCTAGGAAGCAAGTTCGCCTTCATTGTCCGCCACTGGATCAGAACGGTTCTCCCGCAAAGAAAGAAATCGACTATGCGAGGAGCTCATTCAAATTAGAGTCGCACTCAGCAAAGGGACACTCAAGAATGCAGCGAACACCCCACTGCCCAGCACAGGTCAGCCACGGGGCCAAACACAGTGTGACAGGGCTGAAGTTATTTAATCTACCGCCAGCTAAATCGACCCCAGAAGACCGTGAAGACAGCGGACACCTAACACGGCGTGCAAAGTAAGTTTACATCATTTTAAATCTCTGTCCCATGATGGGGTGTTTAACGCTTTAAAAGAATGTTATCAAAGTATATGTTTGTACGCCAGACACGTTTTTTTTACACAATATTTTTCCAATCTTTTTGATAAGTGTCTGAGTATTACTTAAAATACAATCGTCACTGGAAATCGCGTTAAATGAACCCTGATGTCAACTTTGAACCTTTGCAAGAGGTATGATCTTAACGTGTTTGTTCAAGTTGTTTTGAAGACTCTAATCAAGATTTAAATTGTTGATAATAGGTGCGACTCTGGGAGATCATCCACAAACCTCCGCACCATGCCAAGCCGTTACCACATGTCCAGGTGATCAATACAATGACGTCACAAAATCACGTCGGGTCACATCCAAGCATGGGACATATCGATCTTCACAACAACGGGTGAAATTGGTGGAAAGATCTAATTATTAAACATCACTGCTTCAAACTTCAATGGACAATAACTCACAAATAAATATAATTGACAAACTATATTCTATATGAATAAAAATTTATAGAATAAATCAAATTGCAAAATTCTTGATCTACTCCTTTTGATCTACATTTGTGCCAGTCATCCAATAATAAAAAAGAGCACCAAATCTAATACAACTGCTCTCATTCGGCTTTCATTTTAATTACTTAAGTCATTCTAAATCACTACATGCATAGATTTATGTTAAATACAATTGATCTATAAAATAATGCTGTTAAAAACTCCCAATATTTTTATATTGATCCTTATTCATCAATATCCGAAGTTCAATGAACCTGTAGATCTGCAATAACAAAGTGCCACACTGGTTCTGTATGTCAGTTGGATTGAGTGCATGATTTGGCACTTAGGATTTTATTACTTCAACTAGAATGTGCAGACCTCCACCAAGGCAACTCGATTTTCATTGTTAATTAATGGATCACCACCATGATCTTACTGTTCTAAGTCAGACTATTTCTGACCCACTCAGAAAAGTTTATCAAAATTCATCTTCAACTTTTTGAGTTATCTTGTTAACTAACGAGCCAACAAAGGCAATAGAGATAAGATTTCATAAATGTACATCAAATTTATAACAAGTCTCCAGTTTCAATAAAAATGTCATTTAACATGTTGTATTTTTATTTTATTGGAATGAATGATTCGACATGATTATGGTCTGGAAAGACATTCACTCTTTTTCACCTCCTGTTCCTAAAGTTTTGACTGAATACCAGAATTCATCTCATATACTTTGTAGATAAACTTAAAGGTACTATCAAAGTGGGGTTGCATTCTTTCCCTAACTCTTTCCATGTATGCTCTCAAGATGGGTCTGTTTTTCCGGAAATCATATCCACCAGCAATTGGCTGCCACAGTTCACAGACTGCCAGGAGGTCAGCAATGGAGATATCATCATTACTTCTGATGAACTTGGTATCCTTCAGGAAAACATTCTCTATGTGGTCAAGGACGGTGTCCAGGTCACCCCTAAACCGTTCTGCCTTTCCTTCATTCACCGGCTGACCAGTGGCCCTTGGTATTATCACCTGAAAGGCAAAATGCAATTTGAATGCAAATAACTTGATAGTATCATTATTAAAAATTCATGTATTACATTATATTTAAAGTGAAGCATTTAAAGAAAGTGGTATTATATATATATATATATATATATATATATATATATATATATATATATATATATATATATCCCACTGCTACTGGAATTTATTACACCATCCTCACTGCACCCTACATCTCCTCAGTATATGTAGCCATTGATTTTTAAAAAAATTGCTTACAAAACAAAATTTGTCTACAAAAAACCAATAAATATCATGAAAAACAGTATGTAAAATTGATGAGACTTATTGAGCTAGTAGTTTCATACCCTTGTCTGGAAATACATTGCTCCATAAAATCTAGTATTTGCATGTTGCCACTCTATGTACTCATCAATCCTTGCTCTCTGTTTAAGGTCACGTGGGTACCAGTGGTCATCTACCTTGTGCTTCTCAATCAAATAACGAAGGATGGCAACACTAATATGAAATAAATATGCTCCTATAATTTTTGCTATACTAACTGATTTTTTTTCATGTGTGTATCTTACATAAATTAATAGTGGTGACTGGTGAGTAGTTCTTTTAAGATTAGAAATTGTTTTCAAAAGCTAAAGAAGGGTTATTCTACATTTCACTAAAATATTGGATCAATTAAATTTTTCATGTCAAATTACTTCATATAAGATTAACTTTTCTTGAAGACTTTGTGACTACCACATGGTATTTATGGGTCTATATTGACACTTGGGCTATTGTGGTTACTACGTAGTGAAAGGAAATTATAAAATTAAATTCTTGCCTTTCAGTGAGTAAAAATCCATCATCATCAATAACAGGCACGCGCTGAAAGGGGTTTATCTTTTTGTACTCTGGTGTTAAATGCTCCCCTGGAAAAAAGTCAAGACTAAATGAGATAGATACTATTGCAATATAGTATTTGACTTGCCTTTACAATGGTTTATGTGTCTAGGTTCATTTGCCTGTTCAAAGTCTGGTATAGTGATGAGTATTGTATGATTTCACTTTAATCTGAAAACTGAAGAAATGAACAATCAGTGGATATATGAGAGTATAAAATATAATATAGATAAATTTAAGGTAAATAATAACTTTTTTTATTTTTGAAAACCCGAGAGGAAAAAGTGTTTTTGTTGGCAAAATGGGTCAAAAAGTCTATAAATTGAGCTGTAAGTATTATCTAGGCTGGTAAATTCTCCACTTTTGGAGACAGACAAACTGTTTGTAACTGTATACAGTACATGCATTTATATGTATATACTGGTACCTGAGTTGAATAGGGCTTAGCACGAAAATTCATGCGTTAGCACTCCTATTGATGATTCTGATATGTACTGTCTGTGCTAACGCATGAGGCAAAGGCCTCAAAAAGTTGGAAATGAAAACCTGTTGCGAACCAGCCGCAGTGCGGCAGCTCGCAAATTTTTATTTTACATCTCATCTCCTCAACACGCACATTACTGTAAAGCCAACCAGTTTTCCCATCAACAGAGGTATCACTTTCCTTAAATTCATCTGTCTATCTACCAGTTTGACCGTCGTAAAATCATACACCCGTTATAAACAGATGAAAACTGGTTCAGCAACCGGTTTTCATTTCCAACTTTTTGAGGCCTTTGCTTTCATGCGTTAGCACAGACAGTACCTATCAGAATCGTCAATAGGAGTGCTAACACATGAATTTTGGTGCTAAATAGGGCTGGGTGAATCTCAAATGTTTTGATTAATAGGTGTTTTCTATGACAGAATTTGATGCTAGACACACATCTGGCAACAATAATTAAGGTGACAATTTTCAAAATGGCAGACAGTTAAAGGGACCATAGTTTGTTATACCCCTCTTCTTATGTTTTTTAGGGATTTTACACCTGTTAATCAAAACATTTGACATTCACCCAACTATTTAACTCAAGTTCCAGTATAAACATATAGGCCTACTGTCTACAGTTACATGTGATTTGTCTTTTTTAAAATGAAAATTGTCAGTTTATCACCTAAATAATTGTTGTAGAAATAAAAAATTGTCAGATGTGTTTTCAGCATCAAATTTCACCTAGAAAACTCATGTTATAATTTTTTTTAAAAAAGATAAAATCAAATCTTTAAAATCAAACACAAATAACATTAATTTGTATATATTAAATGTGTTTAAATTGAAAGTTAATTCTATAAAATTACAATTTAAAAAGTTATGCCTACAGACAAACTGAGTGAACTTGATTTAAGCACGTCCTACTTTTTGACACTGCATGCTGCGATTTCAAAGTTCATGTCACAGTTATTTACAACTGAATGTGTCTACCGGTGCCTACAAAATTGATAAGAAAAACAAAAATAAATTATGAGATGAAACTTGATAAAAGGAGGGATATATTCACCTTTCCTTAATGCAACAGGGGCATCTTGAAATTGTATTCCAGTGGCCTTCAAGAATAAATATACAGCCCTCGCCGGCTGCGACATCAAATCGTAGTAATACTTGAGCACCATGTTGGCAGAATGTTTTGATCTTAGGTCAAGGTCGAGGTTGTACTCGTTATCAGCCAATAGAAATTGCTCTAAGGGAAGAAAAAGAATAACGGTCGCCATGATTGGTTGAAGTGAGCCCAATCATACACGTGAGTATCAATTTCGAAGTCAAAATGGAGAGGGGTGTTAGTGTTCTTAGCACTAGAAATGCCGATCTACCACGAAAAACACAGGTTGGAAGCATAACCAAGGTGAATGTTTATTTTTTATAAGTTAATTAAATGAACATGATAACATACTGATTTTCCAATGGTCAGAATTGAGTGAAACGACTTCTTATGTTTATACCCTGCTATGCAGAGGCTGCGTGTAGTACAGTGCATGTTTTACTTTCACCACATCGTGTTGTTGATATATATGATGTATTGCATTGTATCAATCTCTGTCACCCTTATTACGCTTTTATTAACTGACGAGTAGATTATAAATTTTTATCACCTGTTAAAAGTTGTTTGTGTCAATTACCATCCTCGCCTGACGCATTCATTAATATTTATGATTTTCACTCAAATGTGTAACCGATGTTTTAAATTCACTTGAGTTTTTTTTTATTTTGTTTTGTTTTTGTGGGTTTGTATCCTTCCAAACATAGGGGGAGTTGACCAGGACAAAACTGGGCAAAGACACAGTACAATTCAACAGCTAATTTACAAAAAAGAAGCAATTAAAAAAAAATGAATATTGACCCTCTATAGTTATCGACTGTTGTTATTGATTAACATTTTATCTTATGAATATTATTTTAAGCTTTCCAAAGGATAAGTTATTAGACAGAAAATTGACATGTCATTCCCTGGTCTAAATTAAAATTTATAAAAGAATTGTGTTCTATTGAATGAATCAAATAACTGAGTTGGTCTGCACAGGTACATGTTTAGCACGAAAATTCATGCGTTAGCACTCCTGTTGACAGTTCTGATACATGAATTTTTGTGCTAGTACATGTTACAAGCATGTTCTTTTGACAGCAGCTGCTGCATACTCAGTAGATACATTTGATAAAATGTACTATTTTTTATATTTCAGAGTAGTTATAATGGAAATGGAAAAGATGACCAGTCTGTATTTAAGCAGGTACATTTATATATTAAATAGCAGCAATTAGGCTCAAATTGTAGGCTTACTAATAAGCACCCCTTGAGCAAGTTAACTATCAATACTCAGCACTCAAAAATATAGTTCTCATTTTGGCATGTAGACTTACAAGACTTACAAGGTTATACCATAGGAATTTCAGTTTTCTTGTTTAAAGCTTTTTAAAGATGTTCATGTTGGTAATGTTTTGCCTGGATGTAAATGCCTGGATCATTTATGACAAACATTTAGAAACAATCAATAATGAATTTGTCAAAAAGAAAAAATAACTAGATTTTCTGCCAAATTTGGTTAAAAATCACTCTGCCTCAGTGAGTCTGTCTTGATATATCCATCCAAAGCAGCATTAATGTAATCACACGTTCTCTTGTTCCAGGGAATGCTGGTGTTTGTCCACCATGATGTAGATATCTGGACAGAGGGCACTGTCTCTGGGATTGATGAAGAAAACATCCTTGTAACTCTTCCTTCAGGAAAGGTATGTTATTAGATGGAGGCATAAAATGTATATTGTGAATAAAATGTTGTTGAATCTCACTTAATATTATAAGTCATGTATATTGGTGGGATCTGGATCATTTTTCTGGCTGGAGTTGTCTATAGTCAGTTAAGTTGATATAGTAACATGGCAGTTTTACAGAACATTACAACAGACACTTTTATGTCGACCTAAATGTGTGTCATCTTTGCAACTCTCACTGGTGTCTTCTGGACCAGGCGGTGAGCTGTCCCTCTTTTCCAAGGAAAAGGTAGGTGGACTGTCGCAGTGTGATTCACTGCAAGATGATTTCTTTCCAGCGCCATGTATTTCCCTAGGGACTGTGAGAAACTGCATTTTGGAATGATCTGACTTTGTTTCTCTGGTTTTTATCTGTTGTTCAAGCTGCATTACAATCTTAAGGAGTTTCTTCTTATTCTGCGGAACTTTAGCTAGAGCGATTTGTTTCAATTTTGTAGCTCTAGCTTCCTGTGATGGGGCATGTATTTCAGTATGAGTAAGACTGTCATTTCTTTCTGAAAAACTTGTACTGGCAGCCATGTCATAATCAGACATTTATCACATCTTGGTTATATACTGCTTTCTTCACACTGCTGAACTTATCCAAGCTAAAATTGTTTCAGTTCTTCTCAGTATTTTTGAGACCACTACAGCATTAAGAAGCACCTGAACACATGCACATTAGTCTTGAAGCCTCATCAGTCCTCGCTTATTCATACCATCTTTTTATGATGATTCAAAGTGCTGTTTCAGTGGGCAGCACAGGTACAAACCAAAAGGTCCTTAGTTCTTGGAATAAATGCACTTTCAAAAGTGTATTCATGACTTAAGATTGGATGATTAGGCCTAAAATCCCTGAGGTAGTCAGACTAATAGCGTTAGCTCAAAAACCATTCAGAAAGTTTCAATCACATGCTTAGTGATGTATATTCTTCTGACTCTATTCCTGTCTGTGTCTTGCTGGTCAGTTGTTGCTTCTACTTTGAAAAGGAACTTGATTAGATATTTCTATTCAAAATTGGAAAAGCATTCTTGAGAACCATGCTGTTCTTTTCTAGCTGTGCCATGTTTCTTGAGAATTGCTGCTGTTTTCATTGAACATTTCTCAATTTTGTACCAAGCAATCACAGTGTGTACAGAACTGTCCAGATTTTACTTTCTATTGAAAATCTGGGTGTCAGCTTACACTAAAATTTGGCTTAGTACTTCCTTTGTTGCAATTATTGATCAGCACATGAGAGTATTCTTGTAGGAAATCTATTGTTTGTCTTAAAGGGGAATTTAATATGTGATGATTAATATATGAAAATCTTGCATTTATATGAGAAAGGATAATGATGTTTTTTTCATCACTGTATTATTGATTTGGTTAAAAAAAGTTATTTCCCCACAAGCAGCTTTCACTTCATGACAATAGAAATATTGGAATTGACATTTTATAAAAAAATTTCATTTCTTTAATTTTTACAGGAACAGTGGGTAAAACATAAGGATATTGCATTGAGAAATGAATGTGATTATGCTTCCACAGAGGATCTCACTCTGTTAACTCCACTTACCTGTGCCTCAGGTATGTTTACTCAAAGGCATGTACTAGTATATACATTTAAAGATGTTGAAGCAGATATATACATGGTTGAAGATAGACAACTAAAACCCATGGAACCTGTTATAGTTTCTAGTTTACCAGAGGGGGACTCCTGACTGTGTACACAAGTAAGCTCACACACACATATATGCATACATGCACATGTACGTACACATGCACACACACACACTGTTGTGATGTATAAATTAACGGTGTTTTTTTTTTAAATCCAGTGTTCCAGTGTTTGAAGAAAAGATACCAACAAGATGTGTTTTACACAAGGGCAGGGGTCACCTTGGTGGCCATTAATCCTTTCAAGGAGGTCCCTTCATTATATAAAAAAAAAGTCATTGACCGCTACCACCAGTTACATGGCCAGAGGAAGGTATTCATAATAATTAGACGGCTGATATTGAAATATCAATTTATATTGAACATTGCTAAAATAAACCTTCAGTTTTGCATGTACAAGCACTTATCCAATTTGATTGTATAGAGTTGAAATAAAGATGCTGTAGATTGCATTGAATATGTTTTATTAAGTAATTGATACATTCAAGATTGTGTCTGACTATGGCCACATTCAGAATAGGGGACTAACTAGTCTGAGGGTCAAATATGGCGACCCACTACAAAGCTTTCCATCTAATTCACTAAAAGACATTGAATAGATATTCCATGGGGAAGTGTTCTGCAAAGTGGGTTGGCCATATTTGACCCTCGGACTATTTAGTCCCCTATTCTGAATGGGGCCTATGCTGTTAAAATTTGGTTTTATGTAAGTGACTTGGAATTTGTCAATTTTTAGGTGTTATCCCCCCATGTGTTTGCCATAGCCCAGGAAGCCTACAGTCACATGAGGCAACAAGTGGGGAGAATGAACCAGAGTGTTATAGTCAGCGGAGAGAGTGGCTCTGGAAAGGTGAGTGTGTGGTGTGGTAGAAGAGGGGACGTCTTGAGAAGGTCCAAAGGTTCATGGGTCCAAAAAGTGGTAACATTTTTGTTTTTTAATCAAGGGTTCGTTGGTCCGAAGGTTCTATTATGAACATTCAGACCAATGAACCCCAGGACTTTTGCTACGGCCCCGTAGGAGAGACAGAAGTGATGGGAATCACATGAGGTTTTGCAACATATATAAAGCTAGAATCCGTAATCTTTGGAGGAGGCAGGGTCAGCAAGAATGGAAGTTCAAGACAGAGAGTTCAGCATAGCAATCCATAAGAGCTCACAGATTTTATCTAAGAATGTTTTTATGGTTGTTTTCTCGTATAAATACTGTTGAATTACAGTCCTTAATAAACCAGTATAAAATCAACATGTTTTGTGTGCCATTTATCTATTGCTCTCTAAGCTGACATTATAGGTGTAGATAGTTTCACAATATCAGCAGTTGCATTTGAGGCTGGGATGGTTTTAATTGGATTGTGAAAATAAGAGAGAGAGAGAGAGAGAGAGAGAGAGAGAGAGAGAGAGAGAGAGAGAGAGAGAGAGAGAGAATAACATAGAGTAGAGTAATAGAGAAGTGGCAATGGTTGTGGTAGATGTGACAGTAGTGATCCAGATAATATTTTCAGTAGAGATGTGTTTACAGGAGAAATGTACAGATGTGGTAGGTGTGATGGTGATAATTGTACTGGGAGATATTGCGTTGGTTTTCTTTTCACTAAGAGAAATAATCTGCATGTCACTGTTGGTTTTTGATACAACAATAAAGTCTGTGCATTTTGACAATTTGGCTGTTTTGGAGAATTGAGCTGAAAGAAAAAGTTTTCCCATCATTAAAAATGACACCCAAAGCAATTTATTTGAAATTCATATGTTAATTTAAATAAATTTGTATTTATACTGGGAAGTTCAGTTATATCTTTTAATATTTCTTCTAATACCTGACTAGGCTTAGTCACTACAACTTTGAATTTTCATTAATAACATTATTTTCGATTGTTTTAGACTGTCACTGCCAAACACCTGATGAAATACCTGACCAGTATCTCCAACTCCAATGCTGGGTAAGTACTGAATGTAAACATATATTAAGTTGACCATATTTTTACCGGATTTTAATTTGGAGTCAAAAAATCATTGAAATCACTGAAAATGAATGAATTCGAAAATGGAGATATTTTTTTAAATGAAAGTGACCTTAGGAAACCCGGCAGTTTTGGTTATGCTTATGGAAACATAGTTTGTGTTTATTATTAACTTATAGAGAACTGTTCTTGAAAGTATGTCAATGGGTGATATTTATTTACCGCTTCTGTCTTCAGTGATACTGGAACAAGAATTGAAAGCAGGATCTTAGATTCCAATCCAATTCTAGAAGCATTTGGTAAGATGAGGCGAGAAGGAGTATTGAGTGGGACAGTATTTATTTTCATAAAAGTTCATTCAATTAGTTAAAAATTTTTTAAGTCTACTCTTACTGAAAAGCCTGTCTCAGAAAAAGTTAAAACTTATTTATGAAACTATGTGGAAATAATGCATCCCACACTTATTATGGTCATTATGACTTCATAGGTCTTGTGTCTGGTTTTTTCTAAAAGTGAAATATGTCAGATGTTTTAAAATATGGCAAAGTATTTAAAAATTATAAATTAATAAAAAATATTAGTGAAAAGTTTTAACCAAGTGCTTTATATTTCAATTAGCATTATTATAAATCTCCAGGACAAAAGAATACTTTTGAATTTATGTATTTGTCTCAAATTCTAAGAAGATTTATTCATTTAACTTGTATTTTTACACTCTAACCTGTATCTTTACACTTTTAATTAACAATTTTATTAATCTTCTTCTCTTTTTTAAAATTTTTACTTTATATTTTATATATTGTGCAATCCAACCATTTTAGTTGCAAATAAATATTATTATATTAGGAAATGCAAGCACCAGTAGAAACAGCAACAGTTCGCGGTTTGGAAAATACATCCAGTTACAGTTTCAAAGGTAATTTGTGGAACAAATTGGAAGCTACTGTAGTTGACACAGTTTTACTTATCACTTAAAATTTTAGTTTTTTTATGAGGTATTTTTACTAGCATGAATTACTTAAAATGAGTTGTTTTTCTGTTTTCCATTTAAGTTTTATTTGTGTATCTTAGATTTTGGGTGATAAATTAAATCTTCTGAAAATATTAAGAAAATTTATTGTGGGTTACTGGATATGTTTTAGATAATTAGGTATATATTTAATATTAATTTTCCAGGAATGGTCAGATTCTTGGTGCTTCCATCCAAACATATCTCTTGGAGAAAACTAGAGTTGTTCATCAGGCAGAAAATGAGAGGAATTTCCACATCTTTTATCAGGTAAGGTAATGGTTGTTTACAAGACTTTTCAGTGCTTGGAATATTTTTTTATGAAGCACATCATGCACAATCCTATTTATTTTCAAAATGACAGACAAGAAGTGTTTGGATTTTTATTGTTTATTTATTTTCAGCCTAGCAATCAGTTTGAAAGGCATTTCATAGTATAATACACTTGAAACTTGAACACAGCTCTGAACACAGAAGTTATTCTTTAAATAAATAAAATGGTAAAGTGGGCACCCTTTGCCAAAGCAGACGGGTAAATGGCCACAAAGCATACTTGACAGTATAGAGAATTGCACATACATGTACTTACTTAGGGCTGTGAAAAAAATTCTCACTTGTCAAACATAAATGATTTCCCGAAACTGTTAATGTGAAGCAAGCTAAACATTAAATTAAAACTAAACCTACTCATGTTAATATTCCAATGTAAAATTGTTAATAAAAAACTGTTTCAGCACAATGTTATGTTAAATATATAGCACACAATTGAGCATGAGTAATATACATGGTCTAACCAAAGTTGATGGACAATTATGGGGAAAAAACAAGAAAAAAAATGATAAACTGAACCAAACTACTGTAATAAATTCAATAACTCCAATATCAAATAAATTAAATCTAAAGGAAATGCATCTCTACAGCAATGAAAATGGAATTTAATATTGTACACACACACATTTTAGTACATTACAGTATACTCACTAGAAGATGAATGCCTACATTACAAGAAGTGAACAGGATACTAATGTCATGTACTGTATTTCAGATGTTAAATGGGGGAAATGATGTGGAGAAGGAGGAATGGCTCGGACGCAAGGACTCCTTGTTTAAAATGATTACAAATCATGGCGCATGCACAGGTGATTTGTCCCCATGACTATACATAGCTGAACACTTTGTATTTATTATGGAAAAACTGATCATGTGTTTTTGAGCTTGATAATTTCTTTTCACTGTTAGAAGTAGAATTCTATTTTGTATAAAAATATCAGTCAGTCTTAAATGAGATGTGTGTACATGCATACTCGGCTCAAGCTAAATTTTATTCAGATATTCCTTGTTACTGTCAGATAGAACTGTTTAAATGGTTAGTCATCTGATTCTAGTCAAACTGTTATTTCTAATAATTATTAAACAGAAGACCAACAAAGTTGGAGACAGACGAGGGAGGCAATGGAAGACATTGGGATTACAGCCCAGCAGCAGGATAGCATATTCAAGGTAAAACTGAATGGCTAGCCTATTTCCACTGTGTAAAATAAATAACCCTAACTGCATCTGTTATCATTTTTGCCCTCCCCATATGTCTTAACATGGTTGTTAATACACACAAATGAACATTTGACAAAATTTAAGATACAAATGACATATTCTAAAAGAATTTCACATCATGTCGTGGCTCATGGTCACATAAATAAACACTCAAACACCAGACACAATTTAGAGATCAATAATTGGAATGGATCACGTATAGCACCCTTTTTACTGTGACTTTCAGTCACTGCGGTGAGCAAGATTTCACATGTAATGCCATAGACCATTAATTTATCAAACAAATACCCTAGACCATCAATTTATCAAACTAATCTATCAATATGTGCATCTCTACTTCATGTTATTTCATATTTTACTAATTCAAGTGGAGATAATTAGTTCAGCTCTACATTTGGGCTATCATTTGAATTGACACTGCTAAGTTGTACTGGATCTACCATGGAAAGATCGCTTGTTTGTAGCAATTTCCAACACAGCTGCTGTCATCTGTGTTCCATTCGTCACTCGGTCAATTTGGATAGATTTTGGCAAGATTCCCTTTTCTAGGGTCACCTTAAACTCCTGCCCTTTGCCTCGGACACGCTGCATGTCTATGTTACAATATAACAGTTCTGCATTGTTGTCATCCTTGAAAATGAGGGCATCTTCATGGTGGAGGCAGAGCCTGCCAGCTTGGTAACCACAGTTCAGCAGAGCCTGGTGGTACTTCCTTAACAGTGGCGCCATCTTTTCTACTTCCTGGTTTGAGCAGACTATTGTGAGGGTGCGCACAGGAATCTCCTGTGGCAGGAATGCAGAGAAGTCACACATACACACACCAAGATTTCTCAGGTTTTTCAATTTCTTTCTGAGCTTACGAATGGTCTCTTTGTCTTTTTCCATTTGGACCACCCAGTACTCCTGGTAGTCGCCAAAGTCTTGAATGGTATATTCAACTTTGTTGGAATCTGACATTTGTGAATGGCACTTGTCTGTCACATCCTCAAAAGGTTCAATATCACCATCAGACATTCGCCGTCTTCTGTTCCTGGACTTGTGCAAGACTAGTGACTCGTTTTGGGATTGAGCAAACTCTGGATTGGAAGGAATAGTTGTGGTTACTATGATTTCTTTAACTTCAGTGTCAGGATTGCTGCTAATAGTGAATCGCCGTCCAGGTCTTATCTGATCGAACATCTCTCCATGCGCCAGCTCCTCAACTTGCAACATGGTGGGTTGGTATTCAGCAGTGCCCACAGTTGCCTCTGTTTTCATTGCACCAGGTGGAAAATTAAAAGTGAATTTCTCCAGGGAAATCACAGCACCTATTTCTGAAACTCTGCGGGTCATTTTGTGTCTCTCTGTTGTTTGGGGCGTACACAGGGGTAAGAACGGCTTGGATCGGACTGGATGGGCTGATTTAGCTTGTCTCATTTTGTTGTTGGACTGGATGAGATTAGGTCTGTCAGTATGGCTACCTAGATTCCCCAGTTGTGCATGTTGCTCTTGGCTTGGCATTTCAAAACTCCTGCCAGGAAGAGCTGCAATAGGGAACCTATTAGCTGCCTCAGGTTTTGGTCTGAAAGGCAGTTCTTGGTTTTTGATAAGAATTATTTTCTTTGTTAGAGCATCTATTTGTTTTTGAAGTTTGTCAATCTCCACAAACTTTGCAGTGGTTTGTGATTGCACACTGTTGAATTCCTTTATGATTTCCTCAGTCTGGACTTCAGATTCTGAAGTTTCGACGTATTCCGTCCCCACTTCTGCATCTGCATATTCAGGCTGAGGCTCTGGCTCTGGCTCTGGCTCTGGTTCCATAACTGGCTCTGGTTCTGGCTCAGGTTGTATTCTAGCCGTCATTTCAGGCTCAGAATCGGGTACCTCTGGCTCTGGCTCAGGTTCAGGCTCTGGTGGTGGAGGGGGTGGGATTTTGGCAGCAGTCTGTACTAAAAGTACTTTCAAGCTCTCTATCTCCTCTTTGAAATTCGAAGCATCCTCTTTACTTTTGGCTATTTCTTTGTACTGTCGGCGTATCATTTCTTCTTGCATTTTGATCTTCTGCCTTAGTACCATTTCTTGTTTTTTGAAGGCTTTCTCATCTAGTTTTTTATCGTCTCCAGATTCTGATGTGTGAAGTGTAACTGCTGTTGTCATGTTGTTTGAAAGCCGTGCCTCTACTTCCCGTAACTGTATGCTTAGTAGGATCCTGATGATGACTGTCTGATGGCGCTCCCATGCTGAAATGAAGAGATACTTAGTGTAATAATAATAATAATAATAATAATAATAATAACAATATTTAAATGATAAAATAAATGACATAGAAAATTAACTTCCAAGGCATCTGCTTTAATAATTCTGCTTTACAAATTTACTATCCTCATTTTAGAAAATCCGAAACTTTGAAGCTAAATTTTGGTCTAATTGAAACACTATTTGCACCATTTATCGCTTCAATATATTGCAACAAAGTAATTTTTAGTGAATTAAAAAACAGAGAAGTTTTTTGAAGGATAATTTCCTACCTTCTGTGAGAAATTCGGAGTTCATCTGCCTGAGGTGTTGCTCCGAGTCCTGCTGGGTATTCTTGATGACAGTGACCAGCTTGGTGAGTCCCACCCCTCCCAGTGGCACCATGCTGTGTAGGAAGGTGGCAATCTCCTGAACCTGGCTCTTGGCATTCTCCTGAAGAATGGTCAGAATTGTTGCAGTTAAGACCCATATTGTCATAATTACGTAAAAAAATGAAGATGTATTTTGTTAGCAGTTGAATATGTGGAATTGCTTGTAAAAGTTACAGAAATCTATTTTACTTTCTGTCTGCCAATCACCAGTGATTTGTAGATTTGTTTTGATATTTGACTGAGAGATTTATTTTGCCAATAATTGATAAAGTTGCCAGTGAAAATAGCACCTCAATCATTATTGCTGATAAACTTATGACTTATGTAATAAGTTATTTATAAAGTCATCTATTTCACTTTAGACTTTAGTGTGCCAATCACCACTGAAGTTGTAAATTTACTCTGACAGATGGTATTTGACTGAGAGATATATTTTGCCATCAATTGATAAAGTTGCCAGTGAAAGTAGCACCACAATCATTGCTGCTGATAAAATTATGACTTATGTAAAAAGTTATTTATAAAGTCATCTATTTTACTTAAGACTGCAGTCTGCCAATCAGCAATGAATTTGTAGACTTGCTCTGATAGTTGGTATTTGATTGAGAGATGCATTTTGTCAATAATTGAACAAATTGCTTGTGAAAGTGCCATCTCAATCATGGCTGATGATAAACTTACAACATATGACTTATGTTTAAAAAATATTTATAAAGTCATCTATTTGATTTTAGAACACGGTCTGCCAAACACCACTGAATTGGAAGATTAACGCTGATAGTTGGTGTTAGACATGGAGATTTTCACAAAGCTTGTTTTATTCACTTTTGACATTTTGATACATTTGATATTCTGAATGAATCACTCATCTAAAAAATCAATGAAGATAACAGGAAAGCCTGTCTTATTGATTTCATGATTTCATCTAATGTGATGTAACGGCAGCTTTCCAGCGGGAATGCATTGTGAAATGAACGTTCCAGACAGATTCCGCTTGGATTTGGTCGTCGTCTTGACAACCTTTTCTCTAGTCGTGTTAGCTGAAGGCCCCATTGTTGTCTCAGCAATGATTTAGATTAACTGCCACTGATTACATTCACTCTCAGTTATTAACAGTCTCCCAAGGGCTTTCTTGTGCGGTATGTTTGCTTTTATAGTGAAAGTCTGATCTTTGCAGGTGTTTGAATATAATTCATTAAATATGCAGACTGATACAATTGCTCCTATTTCTATTGACTTGGCCCATTGGGTCACTACTTTTCCCTGGCTTATTATGGGCATAACAATACATCCAAAATATTGTATGGAATACACTGGTCTATCCAAGTTTGAAGCCACTGCTTTATGATAGTTATCCGTTCCACAGTTTTTTTTATTTTATTTAAGACTGGCTTAAAAGGACACATTTGAATTATTCTTTCATGCAGAATGCAGTTGGAATAGACTTTTATCTCAAGAGAAAATGATGAAGTTTGTGAAAGACTGATATCTTCAACATTGTAGTAATACTAGAATTGGGTTTTAGTTTGGATCATTGTCATTTACTTACAGTATGTACCATATCTTTGAATTAGAATAATTGTTTTTTAAAAAAGTATTCCAAACAGGTGTGTTTAATTTAGTAAATTTAATTGTTTGGGATTTTCTTGTAGAAATTATGCATGGTTTTAAGTGAAATGATTATATTGATGCAATTCAAAAATCCTTGATGTAAAAAGTAACACTCATGCATTACAAAAATATTGTTATAAGCTATTGTGTTTCATATTTGACAGGCTTTGTGATGCTCGCCACTAATACATTTCTAAATGCAATTGGCTCTATTCTAATCCAACTGCAAACATGACTGTTGCACTTAGAGAGGAGGCAAAGTAAATAAGCGGTACAAAGATAAAGTGACTTCAGATGTTCAGTCCAATGGGTAGGCTCTAAGTCAGCCTAAAGCACCGCGGTAAAAGAGGGAAATGCAAATACAGTATATTCTCTTCTTGCTGCTGTCTTTTGGCAAAACTAAACAAAAAATTTGCATACAATCATGGCCTGGTGCCAACCACCTGACTAGCACATCAAAAACACCGTTGTGAACTTAGGTGACTTAACTTAAAACAAACTTTCTTTAGCTTTTCAATTGCACTTGCTTACGCCAGTGACCTTAACTATGCATTGGCAAATGACCCGAACGCTGGGCGCAACCTCAACAAGGTTTACCTTTAGAAAAGAACAGTGTTTGTTACCTTGACATGTTTTTGGAGACAAAACTACCCATGGGAAAATTGTAACCACCGTTAGAGGGAATGTCGATGCACTTACTTGGAGAGCTTTATCTCCTCATTGATTTGCCTTTGGTATTGATTCATGTAAAATCAAACTCTTAGATGTGAAACTGCCCTATGGTTTGACCTACGTTTGATGTTGATTTAAGTGTTAATAAGAAAGCAGAAAACTAATTGTACCATGAAAAATGACTATGAAATAGTCTATTCATATTGCTTCAGGTATCTTATCATTTATGAATGCACTTTGCCAGGAATCTTTCATCTTCATTTTCTAACATTCACTGGGGATATTTCCAGAGTTAGCTGGTTGGTAATAGAGATATGGATATTACTATTAGGTTAAAATATCCACTCATCTGATTTTTTTTTCTTTCTTTCTGTATACCAGTTAGTGTTAGTTAGTAACTACAGTAATTTAAGTAATATATTTTTAGAAAACCTATAATAAAAAAAAATCAGATTGCCAGGCTTCATCAGTTCAAAAACACTCCTGTCTTTACAGTTTTTATATTGATGTTTTTTACATAATAGATTAATAATAAAAAAAGTCAGTTTTGAGTGATTTATATATAAATTCCATCAGTTTTTTTTTCAAGTGAATTATGGTTTTAAATGTATATTGAATGCTAATTAATTCTGCTATCTTATTTTCATTTTGTGAATCTTGACAATAAAAGGTTTTTAAAATGATGTTAATAGATAAAGCCAGAGTAAAATCTTGTTATTTTTCTTATAAGCTTTTCTTTAATAACAAAAACTTAACTGTTTGCCCTCTTTATAATTATCTATTGTTGAATATATTGTGAAAACATTATATATATACGTACACAAATTAAAATTCCTGTTTGATTTGAACATCTTGACAAAAGTTTCATTGAGCAGTAACTCTAAAAGACATCTCTATCTCATTGCATTGAGTTTTGACACTAGAAGATTCCTGCTCTATCTCAATGCATTGAGTGATGACACTAGAAGAGACCCACTCTATTTCACTGCATTGAGAAACCAGAAATGGTCAATTCCTTACAGGAATATTGGGATAAAATTCAATTAAACTAATTTTGTGGAATTCAGTGTATTTTTTCATTCAGGACAAAATCAAAATTAATTTTTTTGATTTTTTCACCTGTTTCAAATGAAATTTATTGCAATCTGTGACACCTTTATGAACCTCTTGTGTTTTTATTGTTTTGAGACTTGTGTAAGTTGTATAATGCTTACCATTCACAAAACTCAATTAAGTTTGATACAAAATCTGCCCCCTTTGCCATTCAAGATAATTATTAGATATAAAATATTTAAATTGGAGGCAATAAAAATTAATAATAATAAAATATGGGTTGCTCACCATTGAAAAAATATCTTAAGTTTGTATTAAATTTAACATGTAGACAAGAGGTATGGAAGCTCATCGGTAATTTCTGTGTGAACTTTATCAAAATATTCTTGTCACGTTATTTTTTCAAAAGTATTTATATATTGAGATGGTAGGGAAAAAACTAGATCTTTTCACTTAACATCTTACAGGTAAGAACATACAATGCACTGGTTAGCTTCTACTGGAAGCCATTTTGTTGTGTTTGGACATAGCCCTCACCTTGATAAATCGTTTTGTGGCATAATCACAGAGACCATCGTTGTTACAGGCACTGTAGAAGTCATCTGAAGTAATCAAATGTTTACACAAATAATCCAAGTTCTTTTTCAGTTCCTGTTCCTTCTTATTATCCATATTGGAATCTGTGTTTATCAGAAATGGTTAGTTTCATCGTCATCTCCCGTCATGTCTCATTGCTGTTTCTGAACTTCTAACAACCTGTTTTTCAGACGTCTGGTTAATATACAGAACAATGATCTTGGTTTCACGCCAAACACATTTCACTTTATGCTCATTTCACAAAATTGTTTTGAATCAACACTGAGGTTTGCTACCTGCATAAAGGAGATGTTGTGATTAGAAAGGTGCACCATTCTTCTGATTGTTTGTGCTTCTGAGGCGCAGCGTGTGAACACAATGCCGTGTTTGCATGACTTAGACCATGGGCACAATCGGCTTTTTCTATGCAAACTTTTGAAATTTCATGCATGGTGCATTTTAGTTTTCTTCATTAAAATCATATTCATAAATTCTCCTACTTGAACTGGTTGGCGAAAAGTAAAGAGTTTGTTCTGAAACAAAGAAAGGCTGAAATGTACAGAAATCACCGTGAATGGACACTGAATGGCTACCAGCTCTGTTGCTATACAGTTCAAGTGTGTATAAGCATCATGGGCCTGTCGACCAAAGCAGTACCATTTCCACAAGGGGCACTTGACGTAAACAAGCACCTGCTTCCCCTCTCACAGGGGGTTATGTCATATTGGTCATTATTGATAATTTATTATGGTCATATGGACACGGTTCAACTGTGTCAGCTGCACATAAATGGGAATGGTCAGCTTTTGTTTGGTTTTAATCAAGTGAAGTTGTTTGCTTCATCTAATTACATAGTTTGATTTGTGATATCAATAACAATTTTCGGTCAAGCAGTGCTTATATATATTTTTTCATTTTTCAATTTTGTTATAATAATCTTATTTCGAGGAATATTAAGTAAACTGTTAATATTCTTCTTTCTTTCTTTTATTAATTATTTTTTATATATATAATAGATCATAAAAATTGCAATGTTCCAAAACTAAATAATATTTTTGGTTATGGTAGGTGAAACAAACAGTCAAGTTGAGTATTTTTCTCTGTTTTAAAAAATATAATCTTTAAATTTAAACCAGGACATGACAATTTGTAATATGATAAATTAATGATATTGCTTTATTTTTTAATTTCCTTGTTAACTACAAGCTGAAATTTGACCATTTTACTTAAAAAAACTTGTGATTACTTCATTCGCATAATTTTTTTTGAATAGCAGAAATTTAAAATCAGTTTTTTTAATCTTATTTTTCAGTGTCTTTAGATAGTTGGTAATATGTTTAATGGTTGAAATAATTATTTCATTAAAGCCCTTCAGTGAAATTGTGCTTCATGTAATATTGGGTATATTGTGAAATAGAAAACCGCCTCTCAACATTTATGTTTATGTAATTGTTGCCGGCTTGTTGAACATGAATACATTGTAGCGACTCAAGTTGCTAGTCCAATCAAAATGCTTTATCAATGTTGTGAGGTTATAGAGTCTGTGAGTAGACCAAAGTGCCATCTATTGACTATTTCCTTTTTGTTGACAGTGTCTATGTTTCACAAATTCGATACAAACCAATGACTAAAAATAATTAATTTTTGTTGTGGGGAACCACCTTAAGACCATCCCGGGGCCCCACATTATATTAAAACGACCCTTTATAATAAAACCCAAGGTTGAGGCACAATGAGCTCACATCTTTGGATAACGCTATCTGTAATGATGCTACAGAGATTCCCAGGTTCCATGTCTTAAATTCTGCACATGGAAAAGAATGAAACACTCCATGTTGAAACTTCAACAGAATTTATTTTGCTACACTAAAAGTTACATGATACAAGTATGACCTCTCTCTCCTCCTCTCTCTCTATCTCCTCTCTCCTTCTTCTATCCAGTTTCCCCTAAATTTTAGTTTACAGATTTTTATACTAAACTTTATCAATTAAACTGTCCATCACATAACTTAAAAACTGATTGGTTACTTCAGACACAAGTCCACCCCCTCACGGTGGGCACTCCCAATAATTCCATATAACCAAGCTCTAACTGATTACTGGCTTCAAAACAAAGGACATTAAAATTTGAACTGCAAGATGTGAAATATTATCTGAAGCTACTTATACACCTTGGCTTCCCAAGTGTGTATTTAACAGACAAAGGCTTCCACTGATTGAATTAATACTTCATCATGTATGAAAGTTTTAAGAGTACTACTAATTACACTTACTTTTTCTATACTGTGGTTCCTGACACATTTTTCCTTTTCCCAAGCAAGAAAAATGGAATATTTATATGACATTTTTCTTCTAGTGTGGTAATTGCCATTGAAATATATAATTATATTACATTATATACATTAAAGTTTTTAATAACGGTCACATAAGCCTTTCCTATAAATTATATACACCTTAGCACAACTTTTAATTATAATATAAACAACATTTTAAAAATTATGAACACTGAAGAATGATAATAGCAATAACAATGCTACATGTATAAGCAACATGAAAAATATGTACATCGCAAGCTTTGATACTGAGAATATAAGCATAACCATGAGAAGTATTTCGCAAGCTTTGATACTGAGAATATAAGCATAACCATGAGAAATTTTTATATTGAAAGGTTACAAAATAACAATGATAATAATGTGAACGACACCAAAGAACCTTTATATACAATGAAATATTTGAGGATAGTAAAGATAATAATAATGATTCAGGACAAGCAACACCTTGAAGAAGCAATTACACCTTTTCTATACTGTGGTTCCTGACAATGTGTTAAATTGCCATTCTTCAGTCAAATTAAAATAATAATAAGTGTAGTTTGTATATTGTGCTCTTGCCTGAGTGGGTAAATCAGTGCATGTTAAGTCTTCTTTCAAATGTGTTTCTGGCAGACTTAATTCTTGCAATACTTCATGTTCATTAAGTCTCATACATGAACATATAATGATTACATTAATTGTAATTTGTGTCAGGAATACTTCTGTTGGAGAATGTCAGACTGCATTGTTTGCTGGACTTACAAAATTTACATGCAAAGTTATACAAACAGATAATTAACTGTCCTTCTGTCTGACTTAAAATTAACGTGCATACATTAAATACATACAGATATCTGTCTGTATTTTTGTCTTTCCTTGCATTCATCCATTTAGAGTATATAAGTGAAAGTTTTACTTGTTTCTGACAAATGATAAGCCAGTTTTTTTTTTAGATATTTCTCTTCAATAGATTTTCACATTGTATAGATCTATGCTTTAATTTTACTATATTCAAGTATCTCGCAGTATTTTAACAAGCCACTGAGACCCCTCGCTTTGGTCCAATGAAGTACAGAAAATTTGAAACCCCTTTTCTCCAGCAGTCATTAGTATTTCCAAAAGTTTTTCATTTTTTTCTTCTTTTACATGCTTGCTCTTGATCTCATTTTTTTGACGTCCGCTTATGATGTCTTCTTGAAACAGGTAGTTGAGGACACTGGAAACATCCAAATTATCTACGAGAAGGCACCAGTTTTTTTTCAGGCACTTCTGATAAGGCATACCTGAAAAGATGGGATCTTTCTTTAAATCCAAGGAAACACAATTCAGTCATAAAAGTCATGCGTAAGCTTTGCCTCTGTTTAAAAAGTGATCTTTTCAGTAACATCAGTAATGCCCACATTTTGCTTTATGTTTGCACAAATGACAATTCTGATTTATTTTTTTGCTTTTATAGTATAGTATCTTCCAGTATGGAAGGAAATAGGAAATCAACTGTAAATGAAGTGTTCACTTTTTTGTAGAAAGACCATACCTTCAACATTTCATGTGAAACCCGATTTCTCCGAACTAAAATGTAGTATTTGTTAATGAATGTTAAAGATGTGATTGCTTTCATGAGAAGCTCAAGAAGTTAAGGGTACTATCAGGGTTAGCCAAAAACTCCTTTTTTACTGGCATTCATACTATTTCTTGGATAATAGATAAGTCTTCAGTGCTCACCAGTGGCAGGTTTAGGGGGGGGGGTCAGGGGGGTCCTGACCCCCCCCCTTCGATTTCTGAAATAATATTAGATAATATGATGCATCAGTTAATATTTAGGTGTACAAAAAGACTCATTTTTGGTATTTTGATGATCATTAACCCTGCCAATACCCTCAAGCTGTTTGGTATACTTACTGTAGGGTAAAGAAGGTGAAACAAGGCTTGCATCATAAAAGGTCAGGGTGCATAGTATGACTGGATCATTTTCATGTGTTACACTGTAAACATGGCTGCGAACTATAGACACTTCTGTAGGTATTAATTCACCCTTCCCCAGTGAAATCAAGAAGTTCTGTCCTTTTGCTCTCAGTTGGGTCATGTCAACCTCCTTTCTTGAAATCACTGTCTTCTTATCCTTTTTGAATATCAGAAGATCGTTGTGATGTATAGAGTGAGAACTAGGCTGATAGTCAGTTTCTTTCATGTTATCCTGTCTGAGCTCTTTTATTGACGGGCATTTGCGTTTTAAGTCTTGGTTTGTGGCTGATACAGAAATGCTGTTAGGAGGGAATGCTAGGGGTACAAAAGCTGTGAAGTCACAAATACAAGTACCCAGGTTCCTCAGGTTTGCTACTCTTTCTTTAAGTATCTCAATTTCTTGATCTTTCAGCTCCACTCGGATGGCCCAGTACTCCTGGTATTCTCCACACCCATTGATGGTGTATTCCACCATGTCAGCTCCAGACTTATTGCAATTGCACACACTGGTAACGTCTTCATACTGTGTTTCTGTGGGGTTTCTTCTCTTTCTGGTTTTGTGCAGCATAAAACTTTGAGGCACACACCTCCGATATTTTGCATCTGGTGGAATTTTAGACTTAACATGGATCTTTTTGATTACAGTAGAAGGCATTGTTGTCAGTTTGAATCGTTTTCCAGGTTGGACTTCTGATGATACTTGCCCTTGCTCTAGTTCTTTGATTTGGTCTTGGCTAGGGAGATAAGTTGCAGCATTCATGGTTACATGACTGTCCACTGAGTTGGGAGGAACGGTGAATGCTGCATTTGATAGTTCCAGGGTCCCACCCTCTTCATCTACTTCCAGAGTACCACTATCAATCTTTTCAGTAGGTTGTTGTTTAACTGATTTAACAGGGACTTCTTTTCTACTTGGGGTTTGATCAGGTATTGGTGCTGTTTTTGGACGTCTTGGCTTTTGTGTCTTTTCCTCACCAGTTTTCTCCATTGTCAGAAGAGTGAGATTGGTTTGTGTGCTTTTCAGTTTTGTATCTGGCTGTTTTCTGAAGCTTTCTTCCATCATTTTAATCTTTTGTTCCAATTCCTCAATGTTGGCAAGAGTCATTGTGGTCTGCATGTCCTTGTTTTCAGACATTGATACTGTCATGGTATCAATATCTTTATGACTGGTGCTCTCTAGGTCTGTTTGGGTGGCTGATGTTCTTCTGAAGGGATTGTCTTTCTTCCATGCAGTATATGCCAAAAGCCGCCTCTCTTGAATATCCTTTGATTGACTATATTGCAATTTCATTTCATAACGTTGAATTTTGTCTCTCAAATCACTGTTTTCCTTCTGAAGCTTCCTAATTGTTTCACTGTTGTGTATTGGTTCTGTTTCTACCTGACTGGAGACTGGTTCCATTCTTGTTTGCTCTTCATGGTGAGTGGCCACTTCGGTGTGGATGAAACTAAGGAGAACTTTTATAACTTGTTCTCGGAATACCTCCCATCCTGAAAAAAATAATTGTAGAAATATCCTAAAATAATATTAAAATTGTTCTGAAGTCACATCAGTAATGCGACATTTTTGTGTTCCTATGTAAAGAATTGTGTAATGTAATTGGCAGAGACAAATGTCCTCTCTGCTGTTTTTGAACAAGGATTTCAAATTTATGTTCATTGTTTGAACATTTAAAATTTTTATATGTTATGTATTATATACCTTCTTTCATGAAGTCTTTCATTTGCTTCACTTGATCTGGTTGTAGCTGTGGCTGAGTAGATTGAACCAGTTTAATGAAGTCTTGAATGCTATGACTTTTTTTTGAAGTCAGAAATAGCAAACAAAATGCCATCTCTTGCTGTGAAGAAACACTTCTTTCCTGAAGAGAAAGAATAGAAGATCCAAGAAAACACCCAGAGAGGGCAGACTTCTGCTAAGGCAGCTCAGTTTTCATTATAATTAGTTAAAAATTTCTGTTCCATGTTCAAACACAAAATGTAATGCAAAGATATTCACTTAAAGATATTCACTTATTTTAGATATTATTCACTTATTTTAGATATTATTGCTTATCTGTAACCAATTAATTATTTAATTATTGATGGATCACCACCAAAATCCAATTGTTTCAAAGTAAACCAATTTCTTACATATCCAGAAATAGTTCAAATTCTATCCATTAGTTAGGGTGTAAACTAACGAACCAACAAATCAACAAAGGCAAAAACATGACCAGCTTGGCAGAGGTTAAAATATTGTGAAAGTGAGGAAAAAAAAACAGGTGACAGCACTCAGAATTCAAGATTTTGATATATTGTAATAGCTTTGATAACAAGGTATTCACCACGTCAAGCAGTTTAAATTTGGCTAGCTAGAAGCCCGTCTTTACCGTACAAATTAACTGCATTTTAATGGATCAGTTGTTTTTGAAATGATTTACCTTAAATGCTGAGATTGCAGCAGCATCAAGCAGCCCTGATGTTGTCATTTCTGTCCAGAAATTCTGGGAAGGAATGACTTTTGAACATATGTATTGCAGATGACTTCTAACGGTGTCCATTTTGGATTTGCAATGAGCTTAAATTTCAATTGTGCAATTTTCAATTCCTGTTCCTAATCTGGGTTATGCCAAACAATTTCTATTGTTCAATACCCTTTTGTAAATTTCTGTTCCATGTTCAAACACAAAATGTAATGCAAAGATATTCACTGTTCTAAAGCCATTGAGTTGAGAGTCAGTCAGCTTTAAAAATAGCACAAAAAAATTTCATATCTGGAAATTGCAAATGTGGAGATTTTTCAACTTGAAAGAGACACTTTATTTTAGATATTATTGCTAATCTGTAATCAGTTTTTGTGTATGAAGATTGAAGCTTTTATTTTCAATTTTAGATTGAATAAAGAGTTGTTTGATATCATTTGAGAAATATTATATGATAAGAATTTTTTCATTTTATTCTTTTTTTTTACTTAAAGTATTTGAACTTCATACTGCAAGTTGGTGATCAGTTAATAAAATAACATGCTGCCACTTCAGTTCTCTTACCCCAAAGTATTGAAGGGAATTGAAGCAAGATTCTTGTGTGGGCTAAGAAGTGATTGAAAGTTTTTCAAAGTTAAAGAATACCAGAGAGGAAAGAATGGTCTGTAAGATTTTTTCATACAGAGTTTAATTAAAATTACTTTTTCTCCTGGCAAAGTGGATGATGAAAATGTCTAGACTAAATATAACCTGCAATTTTATTTCAATAAATATATGATCTATAAATATAAGACAAAATTATTAGGTTGTGGTTTATGAATTATTTTTTGAATTTCTAAGTGTTATTTAAACGCTGCTCCAACCATGCAGACCCTTCACTCTGACGCAGTGCATCACAGAATATATGATATCCTCTCTCCCCAACTGTCATCAGTATTCCAAGCAGCTTTTCATTTCTCTCTTGCTTCACACTCTTATCTTTGACCTCATTCATCTGACGACTGCTGAGAACATGTTCTTGGTACAAGTAATTGATGACGCCAGAGTCATCCAAATTTTCTATGATGTCACACCAGTTGCTTCTCAGCCTGTCTTGGTAAGGCATCCCTGTAGTGAAAAAGAATTGGTCGAGTTGTTTACATTTACCTAGCTTATACATTAAGATCAAATAACATGTTTTTGAAAACTTATCATCAAGAACGATGTAGAAGCCCAAAGCTACGTGTACGCTGTACATATGTTAAGAAGTAGACACATTGGTAACAGCGACATTCTTATTTCATGACAGTGGAGTGGTATTATTTCCTTACCTTGTTCTATTTCAGCAGCTAGTAATGTTGGAATGTTACACAGTACTCTCCTCCTGTTGTATTGTACTGGGTTGTGTGTCGTGTTGACTACTTGCAGCATGCTGGGGATGGTACTATTCCCTAGACCTACTTTAACTTCCATACCCTTGCCTCTCAACTCCAACATGTTCACTTTTAACACATGTAGAGGTGCTTCTGTTGTGGGATTTTTGATTGTGATCTCGTCTTGGTGGTGAACATAAGCACTGGACGGCTGATATGCTCTATTGATGAACGATGGGTTTGTGTTGTATTGAATATACAGTGAGCAGTTCCTTTGCACCTCTTGATTGGTGAATATAAGGCAAAGATAGTTATTGGGGATTGTTTGTGGTATGAATAATGTGATGTCACACATACATATGTCTAACTTTCGCAGATTTGCCAAACGTTTTTGTAATCGTTTGATTATTTCCTTTTGCTTTTTCAAGTCATCTTCCTTCTCCTTTAGGATTACCCAGAATTCCTGGTACTGACCAGAACCATTGATCTGGTAGGTCACTCCATTGTCATCCTGAGTATAATTTAATTGGTCTGTGATATCTGTTATGTTGTCATCTGGCAAGGCAGCAGCAAACTTTTTGTTTGGTTTATCTGGCTGAGATGACTGTGCCCTTCTTTTGTGAACTGTACTTTGATGAACAAACAGAGAATTAAACTGCCCTGGAGGTTTTGTGCGGACGCTGCAAGCAAAATTGACGTCTGGCTGTGAGTTGATATTGTAACAATTTCCAAGACATATTTCATCAGATAGGTCACCTTTTACCAGCTTCTGTTGTAGCTGCATGTTATCTTTGCACATCTTGGCAGTGACTTGTGTCTTGGTTTTGACTGCACCACGCTGTATACTAATAGAGGACTTGTCGTCAAGGGCAATGAAAGCACCAGTCTGTGGAGACACAGTAACTGATTGGTCAGTTTTTTCTTGGAATCCTTGAGCAATAGGTGGCAGTGAAGGGCCACTTGCAGGATGTGTTTTGGTTCGTGAACGTCCGCCAATGTTTTTCAAGTGCACGAAAGGTCCCTGTTCAGGTAAACTGACTAGTTTGGAAGGTAAGCTTAATGAACGATGCATGGAGGAGGATCCACCAGGATCACTTCTAGTACTATGGGGCCTTTCTGACAGAGCTGGCAAACCTTTCCTTCTTTCATGAAATACATCATCATCGTCATCTCTAGTATGTAATGATAAGTTCCTGAGTTGATGCATAAAAATATCTGTCTGGATATTCTGATCACTGAATTTGTTCTTTGCTGTTGAATTTCCAATGGCCTCTTTCTGTGGGTTGGCATAAGAATGCATATCATCTTTGTGGTCCTTTTTTTGTCCCTGTGATTTTTCACTTGCCTCTGAAAGTAGTTCATTGTTTGTGTTATTTTGGTTAACCTGCTCTGTTTTGCTTTGGGACTGGGTCAGGAGTTTCTTGTTACATTCTGCAAGATTGGTTTTTAAATGTAAAACTTCACTCTTCAAACGGTTGCATTCTCCCATGAGAGATTTCTTTTCACTTTCCAGTTTTTCCCTGGATTTGTTGATCTCGGCTAGTTCCACCCTTACTTCTTCTCTTGCTTTTTGTGTTAAGAGCTTGTCCACGAGAGAACCAGCCCAGGGTGGCAAGGTGGGGGTCAGCGGATTTCAACCAAATTTGTTGTATGGAGGCATATTAGGAAGTTATTCATGAGTTAGGAAGGAATCCCAAAAATATCCTTTCTTCAGAGAATTATAGCCTATTATAAGTCATGGCTTATGTAGCCTCTTTGAGACTCCATTTTTACCTTGAAAAAATAATGATATATTTTGTGGAAATTAAACAAAAATGGAGAAAACTAAAAAATATTAGACCTTACAATCATTGAAAACAATCATTTGGCTTGCCACAGATATATGTAGAATTCAGATAAGACCCTGCTTGGGCGAGCCACACCCATTTATAACACCCCTCCCCCCAAAGTCCAATTTTGATACTACCATCTTTAATTGCATATATCTCCATCTTCACAGGGTTTACAGCTATAAAACTGCATGAATATTTTAGGCAGATATGGATCATTCCAAATCAAGTTTCAAAAGTTACTGCTGTATTAAAACAGGTACTGAAAAATACCCCCAAAGTTGGCCATTTTTAAGGCAAAAAATCGTGGTGGATTCATTCAAGTCCATGTAGACAATGAGTTTGATTAATTTATTAAACCATTTTGCTCTAAAATGATATTACTAAATTAATAGGGCTGGTGAGCATAGAAAGTGGATGTGTACTAATGAATATCAGGGCAGTGGGTCATAGGTCAAGGTCACTGGGCTTCATATTTGTAAATTGCCATATATGGACTTTTTAATTTGTATGGACAAAAAGTTTAGAGGAAATAAATCTTAGATTCTGTTACTTTGGATAGGCACTGGCAATTAACTTGAGAGTTTACATGATAATTTTAATATATATATATATATTTAATATAATCAATTTGGTGAATACAAATTAAAATCTTAGTTAAGTAGCGATTTCTTTTTGGTGCAATATTTATCATATAGAGATCAGGATATGCCATAGTATTTATGATGGCAAAGCCAGAACAAATCTTTTTTAATTATCAAGAGGTTTTTTTAATCATCCACACCACTTTTTGGTGACTATTTATGAGCATACAGTAACTAAAAAATTATTCAATTTAGTTTATTGTTGTCTCAGATGAATAATTACAAATAATAAAAAAATCACAAAATTATAATACAGCAATACATGCAAAGCAGTGCAACATTAGTTGCGATTATTACAAACTATATCATAATGTAGCAAAACAAGAAAATTTTCTATTCAAAAAGCAAAACTAACACAACTGCAAAATATATCCTGGTGTTATGAAATATCTTTGCAGTTTTATATCAAACATTACAGCTCATAACATCAAAGTTTTTAATACATTCAAAAATAACTGCCGATTTTTTCTTCCTGAATAGTATGTAACCCTCCTTACTGACATTTCAATCTCATCTTCATGCTCACAAATGCTAGGTTTTGGTGGCCCGTTTCTTGCGCCCTTCTAAACTCCTTTAGTAAAAACTCCTTTACTTTATTTGAATATATAGTTTCAAAGGTTTAGATGACTTTAAAGCTCATCCATTGTGTAACTCAGTGATATATTCAAGAGGGTGGAGTTCTCTCACAGCTGATGTGCTTTAAGTTTTTCTTTAGTCAGATTGTTGGTCCACTAGACTTTAATTTGATCAAAAGCTGTTTTTTGGCACATTTCATGACTGTGGTCTGAAAAAAGGACCTTACAATTACTCTTCAGTCTTGGTAGCAAAAGATTTCAGAGAAGACTTCTCTGGACAAGAAAAATTTCCTTGTTTGCGATCTTGCTTGGTATAGTCCCAGTTGGCACATTTGCCTCAGAAAAACCCAAATTAACTTTAAAACTGCTCAAGGAAGGGAGACACCTTTTCTCATGTTGTAGGAATCAAGAAAGCTAAATTGTTGTAATTGGACACTCCAGTCCACGCAGGTTTGGAAGATGTCTGTCTAGCTGGATGTAGAAAACGGCTCCAACTGCAGAAACTAGGGCCTCATGCATCTCCTTAGCATTTGTTATAGTGTGGCTTTCATTTACATACATGCCTTTCTACAACAGCCGTCATTTCCACACTAGTTTCAGTTTCTGCAAGGCTTTGGACTCTTTTGCTTCACTGTGTGTCAAATAACAATTGTAAAATATGCCTGAAATATAAATATAGCTTACTATAGACACATGAAAACACTTATCTGAAAGTTAATTGATACACTGATGAAAAACAAATTATTATCCCATTTGTCCATGTTTTATAAATAAGGTATGGTTTCGAATATTAATTATAATGAGCCTAGCAATTTTGCCAAGACCAGCCATAGCTTCAATCTAATTCCAATTGTTACCCTTAAATTTATTTTACCCAAATATCATTAAACCTACATAAATACCCACACAAATATAGCTTAAAAGATAAAATTATCACAGGTCCTTAGGCTGCAATTTCACTATCTGAAAGGGGCCATTTTTCTTTAAAAAAAAAAATGGACCGTTTACCATTAAAAAATTACACCTAGATCATTTTTCTGAGTGAACTTTTTTTTCTGGCTTTTAGCCTGTATTAAAATACAAACAAAACCGTTTCTTACCTGAACCAAGTGGCACCAGTACATTCAAATGGCTTTTTGTCTACACTGACATCTGCAAGTTAATCCCATGACATATTTCGTTATAGGCTCGTTTTTCCCTGTGTGGATGGTTTCCAGCACAAACCAAGCCCATATCCCAGTGCTGGTCACATGGTGTAACCCATTCATTCTCCCAAAGATACTTGGAAATGTCCAATTGCGATCATCGGAGACAAAAGAATCCACACCTGACAAGAATCAGTTTGCTTTCGTAACTCACGCTGTTTTGCTTCACGTAAACGCGACGAAGATGACTGTTCATATCTCTGTTGCAATTTCTCAATACACTACATGTTTTTTATATCTGTACACAGAGTATAAACCACATGATATACGACTTCGTTGAGGAAGATTTGCACACAAACAGTCTGCGATTTCCGCCATGTTGGATAATGACGTTGTGTTGTTCTGACGTTAGTACATTAGTTTCACATGATTTTAAAATGTGTTAGATGCTTGTTTTAACCAGAAAAAAATTAAAATAGGTAAAATGAAAATAAAAAGTTCAACTAACAGTGTTTTAAACCATTTGTTAACTTGAAAGAGATAGCTGAAATTGAGTGCACCGATATATGTGTCCGGATATATTTACGAAAAATGAAGAAATTAGGTCATGTTCTATCTGTTACAACGGACAAGTTGTAGAACAGCAGTAAGTTTTGATTTCATGTATAAACAGATTGATGAGTTATCTGTTAGTCCTGTACACGCTTTACCCCAAAGACATGTGAAGATGAAGATATTGTCAAAAATAAAAGGGGGGTGTTAAAAGCATGTGGTTTGTAGGCCTGAAAAAAACGCTTGGTTTGTTACCATGGAAACAAAGAGAGTGAAAAAAGTGTACATCATTTTAATCCCCTATCTTTAGGTTATAACATATCACCAAACTAAATCATTTAGTGACACCTGTATAAACTTTAAGGCCAATCAATATAACCCTGTTTTTCAGAAGAATTTTTGGTTGATAATACCCCCAAATTGTCACTGGCCGTATCTCTGTAAGTAGGGATTTTTTTCAGGAAATATTGCAGCCTCAGATATTGTTCATATAAAGGTTCAAACACACCAAATATGATGTAAATCCGTTCACCCCCACCTTGCCGCATTTTCTACATTTGGTCTGGTTTTCTCGTGGACACACACTTAAGAGCTCTTTCTTGAGACTTTTCTACTAAGGCAGTCAATTCATTTGTTAACCCAAAGTGCCAGACAGGGGCAGCACATTCCAAAACTGGCCTTATGACCGTCATATTTTAAAAGTGATTATTCCCCGACAACCTGCGGAGTTTTTAGGTTTAATATGTCTGTCCATAGAAGGTCTTGGCAAATTTTCCGAAACTGCTTTTGGCAGGCACGACAAGTTAACGTTTCTTTCTTAGAAAAAACTTGCAGAGATATGTTTGGACAAGCCTGATTTGTAGTTCACACTCGAAAAGAGATCAAATCATAATCTGATAACTGCGTTTTAATAATAATGATAATAATAATAAACCTTATTTAAAGGGTAAAACATGCTAAGTGTGCACATTATATTACACATGGCACTCTAGGGGGTTAAGATGAAATGTTGTGCTAATGAATAAAAGATGAATAAATTATGAAATAAAAATGGCAATGAGGTAAAAATGAAATGAGATTGAAATACACAAGTAATATGAATAAAACAGAAGGCGTTCTGTTAGTAAAAATCCTAAAGCTACATGACTTACCCTGTAAAAGTTGTATACATAAAATTTACTTTTGGATTTTTTTAAACAAAACTTTAAAAGTATCCAAGGCTTTGGAGTTTTTGATTTCAGAGTGTAGGCAGTTCCATATTTTAATCGAGGTCTATATTGGGCTTTAAGTTAGTATGTCTTTATGTCTGCCAACTGGTAAGTAGATATTATTTGATTGGGTGATTCTGCCGGTAGTGTCTATTGTTGTAATTCTCAGCGAGTCTTTGATATATTTAGGTAACAGTCCATTTAAAGCTTTAAAAACTAATGTGGCTATCTTAAATTCACTCCGTTCATGGATTGTTTGCCATTTTAGTTTCTTGAATAGTTCAGTTGTTGGATATTTCTTGGCTTCTTTTTCTGCAATGATTCTTATTCCACGTTTCTGAAGTTTGTACCGTCCTAATATTATGTATGTGTGCATTTATTCCTTCAGCCATAAGAAGATTAGATGCGATTATAAAGACGGAAAATACAATAGAGGGAGTGTGATATTTATAGGGTCGCTTAACGATTTTTGACGGAATATAGTGACTACCCTAATCCCCTGGTCGCCTGGGTAGGCACTCCCCCTTAGAGTACTTATCGGCTGTTTCACGATCAGGGTGAACAATTAAATGTGGTTAATGTTACACGTGTCTGATAAATTAACAATTTATGATTGGAGATTGCTG